TATCAGGCATTCAAGGCCCAGAAATCTCGAACGGGGTAGGAGAGCTAGCTAAGGTCTTTGGATGCGCAACGCCGGCAGCGTACAAAGAAATGATACGCTGTGTAAAGTACGAGTTGGACTCAAGGAACCGTGGACTTTTGATGAGACAGAGAAGAACGAAGGACCGTGGAAATGGAAGTATTCTCGGATTCGGATTGGGCCGGAGGCAAGAACAACAGAAGATCGGTCACGTCCATGATGATCTTTCTCGAAGGTGTACTCATTCACTGGAGGTCCAAGCTACAGAAGGTCGTAGCATTTTCGAGTTCCGAAGCTGAGTTCTACGCGTGTGTCGAAGCAGTACGAGAAGTACCGTTCATCGCACAGATTCTGAAGTTCATACAGATCAACGTGGAACTACCTGTGCAAGTGAAGATCGATAACGTAGGTGCTATCTTTATGTCAGAGAACCAGACAAGTGCAAGTCGAACAAGGCATATGGATACGCGGTGGCACTACGTGAACCAAATTCAGCAGGACGGCCTAGTGAAGAATGATTTTGTTCGCTCGGAAGACAACGTGAGCGACATTGGAACCAAGAATGTCAACGTCGAGACCCTCGACAGACATGCACCGAAACTGACAGGAGACAAGAAGCAATTGGTTTGAGTTGGTAAGAAGGTCGCTGCAATCATCGCGAAAACAGGAAAGGGCTGTCAGAAAGGTATTTTCGTATGGCGGACAGACGACTCGGGATCCACAATCACGGTTCGTGAGTGGGGATGTGTGACTCAAATCAGATGGTTATCCGATCATCATCTGATGGCCAGGTGTACGAGGAACGAGGACAATGGTCGTCTAAATGATGCAACTACAAAGGTTAGGAAGTTAGGTCGAGGAGATGAATGCAAGGAGCGACGGGATGGAACAAATGAATGGACTGATGAAGGTCCATAGGTTTAGTAAAGTGGGAAAGCCCTCCAGGCCAACCATGCACTTCAGGAAGATAGATCGAGGAGATCTATCTGCAGATGAAACTGCGAGAAACAGAGGATCGAAAGATCCTGGAATATGTATGCATATCGGAGCTCAGTTGTAGAGCTCACAATCTAACGAGAGAGAAAGAAGAAAAACGAAACAATAGCCACTCTACTAGACAGTAGAGCTGGAAGGATATTGATTAAATTAGAGAAAATGTGCGTTCAAGTTCACACCTTTTTCAACAGGGGTTTGAGAACAGGAGTTATGCGGTTATGCGCATGCGGAGTAGACTACATAGCAAATAAATACAGAACCCCAAATTCACCTTGATCTTGACTCTCTCTACATTCTCTACTTACTAGCTAGTAATTCCTGTCGGAATTGCCGGTACAGTATTGCCTAATGTATCGGTACCGGTATGCAGTCACTTGCAGCTCAGCGCTCAAGCTCCAGTAGTATCTTGGTTTGGCAGACAACAACTCGTACTTTGGAACTATCCCTTCGGAGTTTGGCATGTTGTCCGATCTGAGGCACTTGGATTTGTCAGGAAACATTCGCATTCATGGCTCCCTTCCAGCAGAAATAATGGCGGGTCTCGGGTCATTGGAGTACTAGTATGAATTTGGATATCCGAGGAACTACATGACAGGAACAGTGGCTGCAGCACTCTGTCAGCGCCAGAAACAGGACTTCAGATCAACGCCAATTGCACACTCGTTCAATGCTGTGCTGCGGCGTAGTCTTAGTTTTTTAAAAGTTTGCTCTATGCATAACCACTCCTACAAACCAAGCAGAAGAGTATAGATCTAGCAGATCACGAGTTCAGAGACGGGAAGGGGGCGGTACGGTGGGTTGTTACGCTACGTTACAGAAGAAGCAAAGGGGACCCCCCGGCTGCCTTCCCGCCATGGAGACAACCCGTAAGCACACAACATCCTAGAAAGATCCTCACGGATTGATCTCCCTCGAGAGACGGAGCACCAAAAGCCTGACCACGTCCAGTTGCTTCCTGGAACGAGCAACATCCAGCGGTGTGTCGCCCTTGCCGGTCTTGAGGTCACCATTCGCGCCAAACTCGAGGAGTAACGTGACAATGCCAGCGTCACCTTTCTCGCTTGCCCAATGGAGAGCAGACCAGCCAAAATTGTCTCGTATGTTGGGGTCCGAACCATGATCCAACAGGAGCCGTATCACGCCGATGTTGCCTTGATCGATGGCAGTGTGCAAAACCGTCCAGCCATCCCGCTTTTGTAGCCGACATCGGCGCCATTCTCTAGTAACAATCCGAAGAGCTCGCGGTGGTCGTTCCTCAACGCGTGGTAGAGCGCCCTGCCGCTCCCTTCCCAAATTTTGACTTCGATGGTGTCAAGCAAAAGCTTCGCCACCTTCGGATCGTTGTTGCAGCAAGCAACGTCAAGTGCCCGTGGGACGCAAAAAACCGGATCCATGCGTGTCTGTTGCAAGAGAAATGATACCATTTCCACGTTGCCTTTCTCGGATGCAGTTACAAGAGCCGGACCGATGCAACGAGTATCAGCCAAAGTGTGCGTGAGGAGCAAGGAAGCCATATCCTTGTTGGACTCCTTGGTTGCCACGACGAGAGCCGTTTCCAAAGCGGGCGAACCCACCTTGCCACTGTCAAAGAGAAGCTCCACAACATCCGGGTGACGCAATTCCACGGCTGCGGATAGGGCAGCTTCGACAGAGGCAGCGTCGAGACCAGGATAGTCCAGCAACATCTTCACCATTTTGATGTCTCCTCTCTTGCTGGCAACGCAAAGAGCAGGATCGAGGGTTCGAGCACTGTACGCCCCAGACTCTTTGGGACATACGCCGACATCCAGACCCTTGTGCTCCAGCAAAGCCTTCACGACGTCTGCGTGACCACCGGCAACAGCAAAATAGAGCGGCGTTTTGTTGGTTCTTGCCTTTTTGTCGACGTGAGCCTTTGCCTTGAGCAGCATGTGCACCAACTCCAAATGTCCGGCCCCACAGGCAAGATGAAGACATGTCACGCCATCGTGGCCGGTTTCCTTGGGATCCAATCCCCTCTGCAAGAGCTCCTCCACAATGGGTATGTTGCCGGCAATGCAATTGACGTGAAGCACATTTCTGCTTTTGTAGTTGGTAGAGTGCAAAAAGCCCCGCCGCCCCCCCAATAGGACTCCGGTTGCAACGGCGTGATCCAACAATTTAATCATGATATCCTTGTTGGCAGCTAGGAAAAGAGGCGTTTGACCACCCCGGTCTCTAATGTCAATTTTGATGCCTTTTTCTTCCAGCAGGAGCCTTACAACCTCTGTGTGCCCCCCTTTTGCTGCAAGATGCAGGGCTGTTTCGCCGCCATTCATATCACAATAGTTGGCTCGGTCGACACATTTCTGAACCTGCCAGTTGACATCAACTTTGGGCAGTAGGGCGCGAATGGTGTCGACATCTCCATCGGCAGCCGCATCCAGGAACTGCTGTTCCTCGTCGAATCCGAGGCGCTTCAAAGCTACTGCCGCCGCAATCTTAATATCTCCGTCTCCGCTGTTCACTTTTGGCACTCGCTTGAGCTTTCTCATGCTTTGTTCCAAGTCCCTCATTTGAAGCCTTCCTGCATGATGCAAGTACGAAGCTGGCGCTGCGTATGGATCCGAGCAGGCGTCCATGGTTTTGCGTGGGCTTTCGCCCCTGCCAAGCATGTCCTTAATTTTCTGTATGCCTTGGCGAATGTGCTGTTTGAATACTTCCTGAATCTCTTGAAAGTCATAGTCTGTCACAGCCAGCAGACGCTTCAAGTCTACGACCATGGGACGACCTGCCCACCAAGGGTAAACGACAGCGAAGTGCTTGTGGAAAAAGCCAAAAGTGGCTCCATGCCAACACATACCGGCAGTACTGCGCGAGGCATGTGTGTCGAATCCAGGCATGGAGGCAAACAACTGGATGGCAGCTGCCAGTTCGTTGCCTTTGTGGTCCACGAGATGAACATGTCCGCCTCCACCGTACCGCGGGAATCTGCCGAATTGCCATTTCTTTTCTTCTGGATCCTCTTCGGTGGGCTTATGCGTGAAGCGCCACTGCCCTGAGGCAGTTTTTTGGATGAGGAGGTTGCTGTGGGGGACTGTCATAGTTTGGCTTCGTTGCTTGTTGCGGTCGGTTTTGGGAGTGAGCACACAGCAAAATAATGGAAGCTCTGATTCGATTCATTCATCATCGACCCAGCTAGCTGTTGAATCACGGGATCACGACTGTGAAGATCTTTCGAAGTTAAGAATCCACGACTGGGAGGATCTTTCGAAAGATCCACGACAAGCCCGCTCCCCCCCCTTTTTTGTCGAGGTCTGCATCCTGCTGTGTATCTTCTGATAGTAGCTAGCTACTTGTATCACCCAGGCAGAGGCAAGCCCAAAGAAGAGGAAAGAGGAATCAATGCCAAGTGGGATTGGGTTGGTAGGATGCAGAGCTGGAGACTCAAGGCTGAACCCGGTCGCTACGGCATGGTTCCACCAGCCACGAGCCACGAAAGGCGTGGCTGTTTCTTGGTACCTGGGTGCTGCCATCGTGAGCGATCGAAAAAATCTACTCGTGCTGTGTTGCCAGCGTCATCAAGCGGGTGAATCGAATCAGGGGCGACTTGGCACAGACTCGACTCGGCGGAGGCTGCTTCCTGTCTTCGGGAATCTGGGGATCATGGTGATGATGCATGTATGTACGAAACAAATAAAAACTCTACACGGGCGGTACTTTGGGTTGGTATGTACCGTACCGGTAGCTCCGATGAGATGGAAGTTCCGTCGCATTGTGGTGCACAAAACTTGATCTAATAGTGGAAGCCTTTCGCTACGGAGTTCAGAGCTAATGAAACGCGACAATGAACTCATTATTAAATATTGTAATGTACGGGTTTAGTTCATTTATTGATTGATTGCTGCATTTTGCGTTTAGCATTTCCTTTTTGTCACATTCCTTGACGGCAAGAAGCCATCTATGTAGTATACGAGTTGTTGCACTGACGAACACAAGATCAACTCTCCCTAAGGAATCGACGTCTTCGTGCGCTAGCGCAGTAGTCCAGACCTTAGAGGAACCACGGAGGAAAGAAAATACAATGATGAGGTGCAATAGTCGCACTCGTGGGACAATGACGAGAATCCTTACCGCTGGCGGGCATTCCGCCGCATCCCGGGACACTACTGCTATCGCCAGGTTCAAGCTGAACGCAGGTCAGGCCTCCTTGGCATTCGTCGTCGTTGTCACTTGGTCACCAGAAACAAGTTCGAATCTCCAACGTGAGACGTATGCAGTACCATCCAATCCCAACAAAAAAATCTGACAAAAAACAAACTTACCAGTCACCTTGGCAGTTGTCACATTGATCATCGCTGGAACATTGGGTGCGACGGAGGTGCAGATAGTTATCTGGGAGATTGACACAGTAGTCCCCTCCTGGCGAACCTTCACCAGAACAACCTGGAACTGGAATGGTGCTGCCACCGGGTCTGTTGAATAGTTTTATTTCGCGACAATGAGTGTAGAAGCTTCATGGTGAGTTACGAACGTTTGCAACAAACAATCACGATTTCACGATGCTTCGCAACGCAACAGTACTTACCGGAAGAAGCAGACGAGACCGCCTTGGCAGTCGCTGTCGTCATCACAATCCCCTTCACATGGTCCACAACTACCATTGCCACATCCTGGTTCTGACAAGTCGGGACCGCCCGGCGGTGTCGGTGTGGGTTGCGGGGTTGGTTCACGTGTGGGTTCCGGAGTGGCTGGTTCCGGTGTTGGTTGATCGGTAGGCTCATCCGTAGGTTGCGGTGTGGGTTGCTCCGTTTCGACAGGAGCTGCACTGGGTTCTGGCGTGGGTGCACAAGTTGGACATTCACAAGTCTCTGGGTCACGTTCTGGGATGTCTCCATCGCATGGTGCACAAAGTGAAGTGGGGCAAGCTAGAACGGGTGCCATGGTTGGAGCACAAGTAGGACATTCACACGTTTCTGGATCCTGTGGAGGAACGCTGCCGTCGGGGCATTCATCGCAAAGTATAGTGGGACAAATTAGAATGGGTGCCATGGTTGGAGCACAGGAAGGACATTCACACGTTTCTGGATCTGGAAACGGTCTGATCCCGTCAGAGCATTCATCACAAATTATGGGCACACAAATAGAAATCCTGGTAGGAGCCGACGATGGCGTTGAAGACGGAGCTGGGGATGGTGCTTCCGTTGGCGAAGCGGATGGAATCATATCGGAAGGTCTCGCCGATGGACTGGACGATGGAATTTTGTCCGATGGGCGTGCCGATGGAGACGCACTGGGACTGGCACTTGGCTTGGAACTGGGGCTGGAACTGGGGCTTCTACTGGGGCTGGAACTTGGGCTGGAACTGGGCGATGTGGATGGGCTCTTGGATCCACTGCCCGAGGGAGCGGTGGAAACGGTGGGAGAAGGGGTGGTGATATTGGGTGGAATAATTGCTTCGACCGTGGCATCTACAAGGAGAGGTATGTAGTAATAAAAGAACTCGCCGGCAGTTTGCACATATTCGGTGACGTATTCTTGATTGACGGCTGCCAGTGTGAGATTTCCGACTTCTTCTTCGAGTGGCGTCATTGTAAAGTTGAGAATCGCTTGGCAACGCAAGTGAAAGATTTGCAAGGCTTCGTCGTTGAAATCCCGGAATACTTCTGCAGTTTGCACAGTGGGCCAAGTGAGAGCATACAGCTCGTCAGTGAAAGCCTCGGCATAGTACCCAAAGAAATAAACGAGAGTGTTATGGATCAGTGCTTGTTCTTCCTCAGGTGAAGCTGAAGGACCTCCAAGATCAATCTCAATGCCTTCTTGCAGATTTCGAAGGCGTTGCTCCTGATCTTCAAGATCTTTATCTTGATCATTCACTTGGAGCAAATACATGTAGTCTTCAGTAGCTTCAGTAGCTTCAGTACCGGTACCAGCCTGCAGCAGATCCTTGCTCAACTGGGTCAATTGGCGCAATCTTGCAGGCACAGAAGATGGGGGATCTTGAAAGGTGAGATTAAAGGGATTGGAGTAATTTGCAATCAGAGAAACATTGGCAAAGCTGATGTTGAAAGTCACCAACAAGGTTCCAGGTTCTCCAGGTGCAATGGTAGCGTCAGTGGGATCAATGAACACCTCATCTTCAGCTGCATCTTCAGCTGCATCTTCAGCTTGAACAAACTGAAGACCCCAGAGTAACTGGAGAGTGAAGCAAGCAAACAACACCTTCTTCAAGTTACAAGTACAATTGCTACCCAAGAGAATCATCTTCTCGTTCCTCAATGTCGTATACTAAGATTCTGTGCAGCTTTATCTAGCTAGCTAGCTGGCTATATTACCAGGTAGATAAATTCAATTTTGTGAGTTGTGAGAATTTTGTGTTGCTGTTGTTGGCAATTTGTAATTTGAGCAAGAGATCCTCCCGCGTAAGGATCCCAGCTAGATTTCTTGTGCCACCAGTTTTCGGTCAGATGACCGACGAAAAATGAGGGCCAGATCTTTTTACACCCAGTTGCTACCATAAAAGAGGGGGGTAAGGTATAGATGTCAGGGGGTAAGCTCACTAGATATCAATTCTGATTCAAATACAGTAGAAAATAGATACATTTATGGTGTGTGCAATCTCAAGAAGCCCTAAACACCCAAGCAACCAAGAAGACCATAAGATGCAAAGTCTAATGCATCTGTCAATGAGAGTCATTTGGCATGTAGCTGTGCATTCCTTCAGTCACTGGAATGCTTGGTCCAGCTGATAAAGCTTTCATGAGTTTCTAACTCTGGAGTACTGTAGCTAGCAAAGCCAGAGTCACCATACTCTGAGCAATGTCATCTTCCTAAGGTTGGTTCTCCAGAACTTTGGTCAAAGCTATGATACATAGCTGGCTAGCATGTTTGAATCCAAGAAAGCTCCCTAAACGCGGAATTGATCGCCCCCCACTACACTCAATCTTCTTTGGTGGCCCCCCTAAATTGAATCAATCTTAATTAAAACAGCCCCACAATCCGTGAATATTCATTCGTGAACCGCACATACAGACGGTACTATGAACAACGACACGTCTCTGTTCTAATTACCGAGCCTGCCACAGTGTGTAGAATGTCGTAAGCTTCTAAGTATCGAGCATAAACTCCAAGTGGGACTTCTAAATGAAGCTTGTTTACCTTTTCTGGTAGACTGCAGAACTGCTTGGCATTGAGTCCGTCCGGTTGAAGCCAAGCCGAGTATTGCTTGGCATTGCAAAAAAAAAATTGCTTGACCGGACCACTACACAGTATTGCTTTCGTGTGGGTGTAGGTGTGATTCAGCTAGCATGGGGGTAGAAGATGCCACAAAGAAATGTGCTTGGTACGAGTAGAGCCATCCATGGTTAGCACACGAGTGAGCAATCGTACTGCCATTCCATTCCAGATCAGTAAAGCAGTCAGGTAAGTAACCTGACCTGGCTCTTGCCTGTCACCTGGTCCAACACCTGCCCCACTTAAGAATGATTCAATCTACACCAGTGCCTGATCCCGCTGCAAGCCTAAGAACAGAAAACGAGGCCTAAACCTGGCCTTCGACAAACCAGGACCTGCACCCACATGTAGTTCGCAATGCCCTGCACCAGGCCTGCAGCCCCACAATGATATGGATTGAAGATTCATTCATTCTAATGATACTAGTACATATTTTCTCTATTGTGTTCTATAACTACCGTATATATGGCTAAACCCACACGGAATCACCACTCTGTGCGGAAGCCACCGATCGGGTGTCCTCACGTTGTCGACGATTCGACGACGACATTGACATTGACGATGTTGCCATGGCGGTTGACAATGGGACTTCCTCCTCCTGGAGCGTACTCAGAATGGCATTGTTTCTAGACTCGAGTAGTTGCACTCGTTTTCTCTTTTGCTTGCTTCGAAATTCGTCATAGGCGTGCGCGTAATCGCCCCGTACATCATCATCATCCTCGTCCTCGTGTTCCAACTTTCGATCGGTCATGTCCGTGTCCAATCCTACAATCTCGTTCATGGGCTCACTTCGAAACCAGTCCAATCGGTGCAATACGAAGAAGAGCGGTCCCATGGTGATTGTCGTCCAAAGTATTATGCATAGAATGCCCACAATTTGACATGCCAAGAGGTTTCCTCCACCATAGACGAGACCCGCCGAGGCTCCCGACGATGGGTTTCCAATCCCGGTGACTTTCCAGGTACGGGTAGGTTCCGAAAAGAGACCGACGGAGAGTGCTCCCCAAATGCCACCCACCAAATGCACCGGTATGGCATCGACAACGTCATCTGATGCATGAGATGGGGTGTGGATTGGTGAGTTGGGTATCGTACGTAACGAGCAGCACTTGGATAAACATATGTTCATTGATGCTGGAACTTACCAATCCGTATCCAGAGTAGGAAATCCGATGCAAAGGGGTATATGATTCCGGCCACTGTACCCACCACAATGGCCGCCCAAAAATCCAGTGTGGCACAACTGGCTGTAATGGAAACGAGCCCCGTGAGTGCTCCATTGATGGCGGGTCTCAAGTAGAATAGTGCCTGTCCGTGTTGTAGTTTGGATTTTACTAATCGTACCAACAGAGACGCCATGGCCGCAGTCCCCGCAGACAAGAATGTGTTAATGGCACACATGCTGGCAATTTGTGCCCGAAATGGATTGTTGTCTGGAAGTAGCAATGACGTTCCCGCATTGAATCCGAACCAACCAAAGAGTAGGATAAAGGCTCCCAATACTTGAAGAGCGACGGAATGTCCTGGCATGGCTTTTGGCTTTAGCAGTGGTTTTCCAGTATGCACATGGTAGAATCTGCCCCTTCTGGATCCCAGCAAGTAGGTGCTGATAATGGCAGTGGTTCCTCCCGTGATGTGAATGACGGCACTTCCTGCAAAGTCTAGCATTCCCGTGCCAAAGAGCGGATTTGGGTTGGAATAGGAAAGGAATCCAGCGACGGACCACACGGCATGGACTGAGATGGGGTATACGAGTCCCGTCATGAAGCAACTGTAGAGCAGATAGGCCGCCATTTGACATCGTTCCGCCAGAGCTCCCGCCACAATGGTGACTGCCACAGTGGCATAGTTGAAATGGAAAAAGTAAAATGCCAAATCGACATTTTTGCCCATTCCAAAAAAGTCTTGTGTGCCCATGAAAGTAGTAGTATGGGTAGTGGCAGCTGCAGTGCTCTCTCCTCCAAATGCCAGTGCAAATCCACAGCAGAAATAGACCACTCCCGCTGCACACGCATCTAGTAAGTTTTTGAGCATTGTGTTGTGGGTATTCTTCTTTCGCACACATCCTGCACAGAGCATGGCAAAGCCGCCTTGCATAAAGAAAATAAAAGATCCTGTAAAAATCATCAAGAAACTCTTCACTTTGGCATCCACTAGTCCTTGACTCGCTTCCAACTGATCAATCACACACTTCATCAACTTGATAGAGTCTCCTTCTTCTGTCAGAAATCGGCATAGTTGGTACGTCAGGCTTTCTTCTTCTGGATAAAAATCCACAACGACAAAACTCATCTTGCGTTGCTTGAATTTCTTTCTTTCCTTCCTTCCTTATAGAAACTTGGTAAAACAAAAATTATGATGAGATTTGCAGTGCTGCCCATGAGGACGCCTCTGGTGCCCTTGCATCTCCTTCTGTCTTTTATGGTAGCTCTTCTATATTCTATAGACTTCTGTGCCACAATAATGTGGGAGGCAGGAGGCAAAGGTTCCAGAGAAACTTCAGTTCCCCTCTTGTCACACCCAAGAAAGCACATTGAAGTAGTCTAAGTCATTAACCCACCATCTGCCCTCAAAGAGATAGCAAGACGTTAATAGCCTAAACCATTAACCGACTGTCTGCCCTCAAAGAGATAGTAAGCCTGTTTGCGGCCTATTCATTCTAACTTGTCCCTTTAATTCTATGCTCGTCATTAAATCATTGCTCTCATCCTCTTTTATAGGCCTCGGAAGTTTTCTATTGTACCAGTACCGCAATTTCAGCCAGAGGCACGTGCGATACTGGTACCAAAAAAGATCTTTTGTAATTGAGTTGGGACTTTTTCACAACATGGGAGAAGCAAAGTGTGGGAAGCGAGAAGACAGGCTCATCAAGAGAGCTGAACGCACGACACAAGAGACAAATAAATAAATGTACTAGTAGTCTAGTCTCCCACGCCAAAGAATCCAGCGGAGGTCTTTGCTGGCAAGCTACAAGCACGGTATTGCCGAATCTCGCATTGAGGTTTATGGTTTATGGGTTTGTGAGGAAGACAGTTACCAGTCGACCCGCAGCTATGCATTTAATGCAATGAGTTCCAAGGAGTACCTACGTACCTACATGTAGGTATTCTCTTTTTATAAGACTTGAAAATGCTTCCACTGGGTAAAGGGTAGTCATAGAGTACCGTAGCTACTGGTACTAGTACTGTAGCTTCCTCTATTGGGCTACCGGAGCTTCGGGAGGGCGGTTGACGACTGACTCACACAGATTGCTCACACAGCCTGAGCGGGCTTATTACTGGAGGCTTTTTCAATGTCTCGATGTCTCGCCCATGTCCAACACCCAGAACCACGACGCGGTTGGGAACACAAAACAGCAACAAGATTCTCGTCTTGGCTTCCGATACCCAACTCAATGAATAGCAAGATGACAACTCCAATAGTTTCATACTCTGATATTCCTTGGAAAAAGCATCGCAAATTGCTTTTGGCTATTTTTGCTGTGGCTCTGGTGGTTGTCCACTTGGCGAACGAAGCTGGAAAATTGCTTCTTCTACCATGGGATGCCAGTACAAGTGCAAGCTTAAGTAGTAAATCTATTGCTATTGCTTGTATCAATGGCAACAGCACTACCGGTAGTAGTCATTCCAAGGAAGAAGCAACAGAAAAGATGTGGAAATCTCATAAACTGCAGGCAGCAGTTGCGTTACGGGTGATGGAGGAACGAGACATCATGACTACCCCATTTTCCAGTCGTGAACTTGCACTACAAAAGACGTTTCCTTCAAATCTTCAATGGACACCTTGCGCACTAGAAAGAATATTTCAGCAAAAGCTCAAGAAACACAACAATCAAGGCACGCCAATTCAAGTGAATATTGCCGTGGTGGGCGGATCCACCGCTGCTAGGCCAGGGGATCGATGTGCCCGTCACCACTCAACAACAACAACCGTAACAACAACCAAGCCAGATGGAAGACACAGTGGACAATTACATCAAAAACTAAATCAGGAATTCATACAGCACCAGGCGTTACTCGACACGACCAGGAGCACGAGCATCAACACTACTACTACTACTACTACTCATGACAACCTTTCCATGAAATTCCAAGTATACAATTGCGCTCAAGGTGGAACCAACACGGTAACATCTGCCATGTTGATGGATGGCTGTGTCAATGCAGCAAATACAGACATCATCATTTGGGACTTTTTGGTCAATGACGAAGCGGGTGGGGGTGGTACCAAGGAAGAGAATCGAAAAATGGACTTTTGGTTGACACGAGTCCATGCACATTTTGCCAAAGCCGGAAAGCCTCCTCCACCCATTGTCTTGCTGCACTTGTGGGGCGATAGAGCCATGACCAATGTTAACAAGTACAAGGGAAAACGAAAAGTATTTGACATTTTGGATCGAAAACCACACCGGTATCTTGGTCGATTGCTCACAAAATACATTGAGTCTGGCTGGGATATTGCCATGATCAATGTTGCTGCGGCTATCAATGGTACAGCCCTCAGCCAAAATGTGAAACTTCTCCTCGATGAAACCACTCATGCCAGTTGTGCTGGAACCAGCTTGATGGGGGATATGATACAGCACCTTTTCTACACAAATGTTGCCAGTGAATCATGTACTCTGCAAAATGCGCTTACAGAGCCACCACCACAACCAGTCGTTCCACTGCCCCACAGTCTCAGAGAGCCCAAAATGCCCAGCCCCATCAGTGAAGCAAAGTGGACCCCTCTGTGGCATGATTTGTTCCGGGAGGACGCCAGGATTGGGTCATTGTCTGTCTGGAAGCCTGTGGAAGCAAATTTGACCAATCTACACTTGTTGCCTGGATGGCAGGCAACCATTGACAGCTGGCCAACCCGATTGACTGCCAAGCACAGAGCTGGTCGATTTGATATTAAGAATGGGTTGGTTTTGCCAGAGTGTGCCAATACCACCCAAATGCTCAACTTTTATCTCCAAGAGCCAGATCTGAAATGGCTTGGTTTCAATATGAAGGGCGGTGAGAGACATGTTTACGTCAATGGTATGGAGCTTTTGGAAGTAAAAGCCCGTCCTCATGACTGGTGTTTTGGGTTCACTCAAATCTCACACTGGGTCAACCTGAAGAACTATACAGCAATCAGGCTTCCAGAGGATGGCATTTACACAATTTCCTTTTGCCATACCACGCCGACAAAAGCGACAGAACCAACTCTGTCTTTCTTTATTGGGGTCGCCGTGTAAGGGAGCGTGGCAACGATAGTACTGCCGAAACGTCAGCTTCTGGAACATTTTATCACGAGCTATGCAACTGACACGAATTTTGAACACTAGCTAGGCTAAACCCTTTCCTCCTTCCTTTTGATGAGTAGCAGCAGTACCGGTACCGGTACGGGTAGATTGCTCGTTTTTGAAGGAACCACTCGACTCGACGACTCATCATGATCCTAACCTTCGTCAAGCACCGTAAGGCTGACCGCGGGAGCCTTTGCATCGTCGACGGACTGTGGCAGTGAAGCCAGAAGAGCTGTCACACAGAAGAGTCACAATGACTGGAAGAGTCTTTGAGTGACCAAGAACACTTTGTGCGAAGTGAGCCGCCACAGAACATTTGGTACTCAGGTAGATGCGGTAACAATATTTGATCCAATAATCAGAGTAACGCACAAGTTTACCTTAGTTACCTGTAACGCCTATCCTGGGCTTTTCTTTCTTCGTCCAACTTCATCAGCTTCATCAACGCCAATTAGCTTATTGTTGCTCTGCTTGAGTATAGTAACATAAGGGGGATTAGAGTATAGTAATGATGACATCTCCAATACAAGTGGTGTCTTCCTCAGATGTCCCTTGGAAGAAGATTCGAATGGTAGCCTTGGTGTTGGGCGCTGCTGCTGTGGTGGTTTTCAATCTGGCAGGAGAAGCTGGAAGCTTGATTTTTCCAGCCAGCAATACTGTAATCACCTGTACCAGTACCGGTAGCAATGACGGCACAAAAAGCAACCACAGCAAGGACAGCCATTCCAGGGAAGCCAAACTATTTGAATCTCACAAGATCCAGGCAGCAGTGGCGCTACGGGTCATGGAGGCCCAAGACAAAATGACGACGCCATTTTCAAGTCGCCAACGAGTGCTGCAGAAAGGATTTCCATCAAATCTACAGTGGAAACCGTGTGTACTAGAAAGAATATTTCAGCAAAAACTAAAATGGAAGTCAAAACAAGGCAAACCCATGGAAATCAACATTGCTGTTGTGGGTGGATCCACAGCTGCTAGGCCAGGCAACCGATGCCCCCTCCAAGTTGAGGATACCAGCTCACAGGTACCGGTACAAGCAAAGACTAGTCCTGATGGCAGACACGGTGGACAACTACATCAAAAACTACATCAGGAATTTGACCATCACAAGTCACTACTCAATGCTACAACTTTGGGCAGGGATGAAAGCTCCATGAAATTCCAGGTACGCACTTATGCTCAAGGTGGAATCAACTCAGTGACCTCTTCTCTATTGATGGACAGCTACATCAATCCAAACAACACAGATATCATCATTTGGGATTTCTTGGTCAATGGTACGTATTTGCCAATGCAAAATAGTAAAGACAAGAGACAATTTGTTCATCCAAACCTAACTGTCATCCATTTGTCATCCAAATTGTGCTCGCTCACAATAGATGATGCTGCCAGTGGTGGCGAAGAAGAACAGCTTAGAAAACTGGACTTTTGGTTGACACGGGTACATGCACACTTCACACAAGGTGGGAGGCCACCACCACCCATTGTCTTGCTCTGCTTGTGGGGAAATGGAGCCAAGAACAAGGTACTCAACAACAAGGGAAAACCCAACAATGAGATAATCAATATACTGGATCGACAACCAGCCAGGTATTTTGGTGGATTACTGGGAAAATACATCAACTTGGGCTGGGATATTGCCATGGTCAATGTTGGTGCAGCTATCAATGCTACAGCCCTAAGCCAAAATGTCAATCTGCTTCTCGACGATACCAATCATCCCAGTTGTGCTGGAACCAGCTTGATTGGAGACATGATACAGCATCTTTTCTATAACAATGTTGCCAGCAAATCATGTACTCTACAAAGAGCTCTTGCAGAATCACCACTGACACCAACCATTCCACTACCTCATCGGCTCAGAGAGGCCAAACTGCCCAAAACCAAGGCACAGTGGACACCCTTGTGGCGTGACTTGTTTCGGGAGGATGCCAGGATTGGCTCTGTATCTGTGTGGCAACCTGTGGAAGTGAACCAGACCAATCTACACCTGTTGCCAGGGTGGCAGGCATCCATAAACACCTGGCCGACCAAGAACACTGCGAAACACACACCTGGTCGATCGGATATTAAGAATGGCTTGGTTTTGCCAAAGTGTGCCAATCGCACAATCTCCAAAATGCTCAACTTCCACCTCCAAGAACCAGATCTCAAATGGATTGGTCTCAATATGCAGGGCAGAAAAACTCATGTGTATGTCAACGGGGAGGCAATCAAGGATGGAGGACTTGCCAAAGACTGGTGTTTTGGAACAACTCAAGTTTCACATTGGATCAACTTGAGGAAGTATCCAAACATCAAGGTGTCAGAAGAAGGCATCTACACAGTTTCTTTTTGCCATGGCATGGCCAGCAGTGTCACGAAGGAAAGTCAGCTTGCACCAACTCTGTCGTTTCTGATTGGGGTCACTATGCAGGATGACACGCAGCTGACTGACCAGGCAAAAAGATAAAACTAACTTTTTAAGAAAGGATCCAGATCTCTGCAGCGAAGAAGTGTCAGTGGTAGCTTGTTATTATTCATTCCACTGAGATCGCGATATTGGTCTACCGAACCATGGCACTATCGATAATGCCTCTTGCAGCTTTCTCCAAGCTTCTGCGTCGACTACGCGACAGAGATCGAGAAAACTCTGACTCGAGTCTAGCTAGCTATTGTATCCGTGTTCATAGACCGTGTGACCGCCGCACACCATTACCTGTACCGGCCGCCCTTGTTACATTTTTAGAACACGGGAGTCGGAAGTGCACCGAACGAAAGTCTAGCTAGAGACAGCTCTGCCACTGATATCTCGGATCTTCCTTATCTCAACGATGGACGATGACGACAAGGCTTGTTCTCTGTCTATTACTCGGACCAGGTACTAGTACAGTAGCTGTCCGGTGTGTCCGCCTCACACCGCATCGAGCGCCCTTCATACCGGTACCAGTACCGGTACAGGTACACCCATGTTTTGGGCGGGAATCGAATCTCGAGTCGAGTCCACCGTTGTTATCTCGGATCTTGCTTACCGTACTCCACGATGGACGGCGACGACGAGGCATGTCGCTGCCCAATGGTGTCAACTGACTGCTGTCGAGCGGCGGTGTCATTGAGGGGCGGCTGTTTTTGTTTTATCTCGTACCCCGTACGTACTAGTACCTTTGCAGACGGTCGATCGTTTCAGTTTGAAACGGAAATGAATGACGACTCCATTTTGATTTTGGACGTTGCACCTTTTTTCGATTTGGGTCTTTTCAAAACGAACTTGCGAAACCTGCGCTCTCGTAAGGAAACGCCGTTGCCTCAACCAAGCTTTCTCTCTCAAACAACACAACACAACTTCTTCGACAATGCATGACGATGACACCTTTTTCAGTGCTGTCATTACCGTAGTAGTTCAGAGTTCGTTTGAACCTTGAGAAGCTGCTGGGGTCAGTCTTCCGGGGCTGTCCTCGCCGGCTTCGCTGAACGTTGGTCCGCTGGGAAAGGTGTCATCTTGCGGTGGTTCCAGCTAGAGATGGAGCGTCCTCGTGCAAGGTAACGGTCGGTTCTTCTGTCTTGTGGCGTTGCTTGTTTGCTTGTTTGTTTGTTTTCACGGTCGTCGACCGTTGCCGCCTCATCTCTTTTTGTTCCCAACGTAGGTCTGCGCCGTGTTGACATTGATGCTTTGGCCGTTGGTGTTGGTGTTCCCGTCTCATCCACACAAGGTCAGTTCCCACTCTGCTTACAACGTCCGACAATGGTGCCTTTTTCCGGTGCTGCTTGCAGCTGCTTCGAGCCTTTGTTAGAAGAGCGAATGGGCGGCCATTTCATGAGTCCGTTCCGTTCACTCTTCACCGGGAAAATGGCACCCAAACAGTCTTTCACGTCTTCTTCTGTTACTTGAACCAGTCATGCTAACCGTTATTCTGCTTCTACTTCTTCTTTTTCTTCTCGAGTCGACTCTTCTTAGCTTGGGTCCTTTCGGCGTGGAACCAGGTCTAGGCAACATACAGGTCAATTGTCGGTAGTTCAGGGTTGTTTTTGGCTCGCCGGTCTTCAAGTACTGTCGTTGGAAGTTCGACGGGGCAGCGCATTTCCGCGACCGTTTGCCTGTGCTTCGCCGTGCTTGGTTCTCATAGCTTTTAAACGTCCTACACTTCTTGTTCTCAAACTTGACCCGCCGAAGCCGTGGGAGAGGGAAAGGGCCGCCATTTCATGAGTCGAGTCGGTTTCGTTTGCCTCTCCGCCCGAAGAGGATGGTGCCAGCCTTCATTTCTGCCGCGGCGAGTCTTAACAACACCTACTCTCCTTTTCCCATTTCCAACAGCGGCGTCGAGTGCACAGTCATCATTCCGCCGTAGTTTTCCGTGAGCCTCAAATATGTGTCTCCGCCGAAAGCAAAAGGAGTTCGAGTGCAAGCAGGTTCTTTTAGTAGTTTGGATATCATGATGTGTGCGTAGCTGCCGACTCGACTCATCCGATACCAGAAAGCCGCAAAAGACTGGTTTTGTGGTTATTGAATCATGTTACATTGCTATAATTGCGTGCCGTAGCTAGCTAGCACTCGACCGAGATTGGTCCTCGAGTCTCCAAAATTTCCGAGGAAGCATTTGAATCGGTACCTCCATCGCTGGTGGTGCCACTGTCCATGCTGCTGTTGCTGCTACTGCTGTTGCTTGTGGTGGATGTCAGACTGATTTCATCCACATCAATGGGTTCACTTTTGGTCCTTCTACTACTCTTCTTTTGGTGTTTGTCGTCGGTGAGCCAATTGAGATCATCACTTGCTTGCTGAATAATGATTGGCACGGCGGTTTCTGCTGGGTAGTCGAGCTGCTGACGACGATCGTGGTTTACGAGATCTTGTGTCGTCAATTCCTCAGCGACCCGCGCCTGACTTTTCTTTTCAGCATCCAACATCAATCTTGTTTCCTTGTCGTCCTTATCATACTTAGCGTTTCGTTGTTGCTGCTTTTGCATTGCAATCACGGACTGAAGCGTCTGTTGAATGGCCATTGTCGTTTCTCGCAGCACTAGCGTGGGTCGTAGTGACTCTTTTTCGGCCGGCAATAAAAAGTATCGACAAATGGGACATCGCTCCACTTGATCCATGTGCCCGAGACAGACCGAATGGCCGCAGGGCAATGTGCATGGATCATCTTGGAATGGTTCCAAACACACGGGACATTCGATACACGACCAGCATTTGCGCATGCACTGCTGAAGGGTTGGATCCTGGATTTGTTCTAGTTTCTCGGTGAAATGGCTGTTGCTGGTAAGGATGGTATCATTGTCGCTGCTGCTCTGCTGCTGATGCGATGATCGACGGGGCTTCTTTTTGAGATCGGTCCGTACTGCACATTCGGATGAATCATCATCGTCATCATTATTGTTTTGGAGAGCAGTGCCAGTGCTGGCTGCCCAAGAAGGAGCAAACTGAAAGGCTGCGTTGGATGCGTGTGGTGACTGATGATCAGTGACCAACTGCTGCAGTTGGGACGCATTGGTACTGCAATGACCATAGCATAGCTGACAGTAGTACTGATACCGTGGTACTAGACCCACTTCATGGGTACTTCGAGGTGGATACAAGCCGTCATTGGAAAAGGGTCTCGTGTCTGCGTGTTGACAGCAATGCACATAAGACAATCCCCCGCACTCGCGACCACAACACGGTTTTGGCATTCCTCGCACCGCAGCTGTCGTGGAAAAACTCCCGGTAGTACTAATGTTGGATCGATGTGGCGTTTCGTTGGTCGCAGCGGAACTGTCGTCGTCGTCATTGTCGCTGCTCCCGGCGCGTGCGCGACCAGGAACAGCGCTGCTGTCAAAGGACACGATGCGTCTTCGTTGTACCAACCGTTGCTGCTGAATGCGTCTCTGATCTTCACAGTACGAACAGTACCGTTCCGTTGGTCCGTGTCCGTGTACGCAGCAGCAGCAGTTCTGCGCATCTACGTGCAAACAAAAGGCGCCACAGCAGGGCTTGTGAGAACCCATCTGACGAATGTCCAGACTTCCCTGATGCTGATCATGCTGAGAAGAAGACAAAAGATTACTATCAGTAGTATCCAATAGCAAGGCTTGCGACGCGTCTGCCAAATCCTCTTCACTATCAGAAAGACAAGCCGCGTAGCCGTTGCTATGGACCGATGGCACGGGATACCGAGTGGCAGTCGCACGATTGGACGATCTCCGGTTCTTCTTGTGACGGCTCTTCTTAGATTGGTTGTGCGGACGACTAGATCCACCATTGTTGTGGGTGTTGCCCGTAAGGCTTAAGAACTGTCGTAGCATGGGCATCTAGCTGGTTGTCGTTGCGTTGCGTTGCGTTGTGGACTTGTGGCTGCACTTAGCTACCGTTGGTACGCAACCAAGAAAGAAATTGAGGAAAAAATGAGCCTGCAGTGCGAACCGCGAACCAAGGATGTCAATCAGAGAGCGGGCAAGAGAGGTTCGAAAATTTGGGTAACTACGGGCTTCTTTCTGGCGGCGATCAACCACGAATGGAGCTCAGTAAGTATCTTTCTATTTTGGCACCTTCACTTACGCGTATTTAGGCAACAACATGTGACTCCCATCGGCATTTCTACCCGGTGGGATTCAAGCCATCCAAGCAACATCCAACCTGCCTGCTCATTCGGCATGCATGTTTCTAATAGAAATTTCCGTACACAGCCTTCAAGGGCCACTAAAAACGGCGGGCGCCAACACCCAGTCAGCTCCAAATAAATGTGCCACCGGTACATCAGCTAGCTAGCGGTAGGTCGAGGAACAGTGTTGGGGTTTGGTGGTGGGAGTGTGAGGCGCCAAAGGTATCTTGGATCCGCCCACTGATGGCATTTTGGTAGCAGGCAAGCTACCTTTTATAAAAAGAGAATAGGTTGACTTTCATCTGGTTGTTACCAAGAAGACTACAGTGAACCAAGTGCCATAGATATCACCCTCATGTATGTTTGGTACACGTGGTCAGCAGAGGCGGTAATTGGATCTTGCATCCATGTAGCTAAAGCAACCACAGTATGATGCAATTCTGTAGCTATGGCACATGCCCATGTAGCTAAAGCAACCACAGTATGATTACTAGAAGCAATCGGGTTGACTATGGATTAGAGAGAGCTAAGATGAGGATGGAGACAGAGGTCAAGGGGAGGGCACGACGCAGGAACGCAAGGCAGATGCAATTCTGTAGCTATGGCACATGCCCCATAGTAGTTCAGGCAATCAATGTACATGTGCAGCTGGTTGGGTGACCGTGGATACTGCGTGGTTTTTGACAAGACCCCAACCTTCCGCCATAAATGATAACCATCCGCGTCGATGCACAGTCGAGTCAGTCAACAGCGAAGCAGCCGTACGGTACCGTACCGGTACCGGTACCGGTACCGGCACCTCTGCTTGTAGCTGGCACATACCACACCTGCAAGATCAACCTCAACCGCAGCAGCACCAGGTCCTATATCGGTACCGGCATCGTTATTTAAACTTACTACTACTAGCGTTCTAAGGCGGTTTCGGAACCATTCACAGTATTCTGGTTGTCTGATCTATTGTTTAGGATTACTTGTACCGTTACATGTGTTCTGAATAGCATTCATAAAGGTGCTGCACGAACGATGCTCCTCCTTGGGAAACCAATGCTTTCGTCTGTGGGTGGTGCGAATGGGATGGATCGCTTGAATGGGTGCTCTACTACTGGGTCCCTTCTTGTGCACGACAGGAGCAATCACCATCAACACACCGTCGTCTTCCAGCTGGACCGACAGATTGTTCACATCCACTACAGTGTCGTCTAGTAGAAAGTAATGGTCCGTGGAGCGTTGACCTCGTACTTGCAAAATTCTGCCCAAGCCGCTTGGCTCGTTCAGTACATTCACAGACAGATCAGAAGCTTCCACGTTGAGAAACGTCAAAACAATCTGTTCTTCCATCTCCTCCAGTTGGTAATAGCGTGAAGACAAGAGATTATTCATCCAAAACTGAAGTTGAGAGAGAGCTGGCATTTCGTCTATTTTGAAGAAGGATTACTGTTAGTAATATGATTCTGTGTTTGTGTTTGTTTGTTTCTGGGTAGTTTGGTTTATGAGAGAAGCACACCTTTAGCATAGAATGGAATATGGCTCCTCTGCTGGATAAGCTTATGCATACAAAGCATGATTTCCTGAGAAAAAGTGACGGCTGGAAAGCACGAAGGGAAACCACCCAAAGTGCTCAGTCCGGAGCTGATCCACTGAGATCCTACGAAACGCTGAGTAATAAGCCGGTTCATTTGCTCTTACACAAGCAAAATGGCAGGAAGTCGGTTGATGCCTTTTACCTACGGTACCTGGTACCGGTACTGTAGGCGGACGTTGAAGCATTCTAACCACAAGCAAAAAAATAGCAAAGGAGAAGTCAGTTCGGGTCTCACCCTTCAGACAAGAGGTGTTGACGTGATGGCGTGATGGTCCTTTGATAATCGCGGGAAAGTGCCAGATTGCAGTGTGGAGTAATAACACCTGCAGCAACCGCGATAGAAGATGTCGTCATCAGAGGAGTTCTTTGACATACTTGTCCTCGTCACAGCTAGAAAAGCTGGGTAAAGTCGCTACAGACAGAGACGCCCGTCATGGACGGTTGCATAGAGATTGAGTTTGAGCATTCCGGGACCTCAAAGATCCTTGAGACAGGACGAACGTTTCTATTCCATCACCTGCCTGTACCGGTACAATGGAGTTCCAAGTACTTTGGCCCCAACACGGCCATTGAAGCAATCCGTCCCAGTGAGTAATGCCAGCATGCCAGCGAATCCTTGCCATCTCTATCTAGATATCTGAGCTCCTCGACAACGGCTGCATGTACCTACCGGTACCAGGTGTTGTTCCCCCCCTTGTTACTGGTACCAATGGCCTTTTATCGACACAAGGATCCACGGAGCCCAGTTAAATCTTTCTGAAGCATCACCAATTTCTCAGTTAAGACAACGTTGAAGCATTCTGAAGTAAAATCAAGTCTGTTATTAATGGGTTTACGTTTAAACGTGATGGTCCCGTCAGATGATCGCGCGAAAGTGCCAGATTCTGCATAGAACTCGGATGCAGCAATCGCGAGGTAGCAACGTACATGTAGCAACACCGAGACCGAAATCAATGTTTCATCTGGAACATAGTGTTACAAGTATAGCTGTAGCTAATAAGAAACCAAAGCCAGAAGCCAGGCAATCACAGTCTGCTGTCTCTGTCTGCTAGTTCAGCACCATGTCCGAGAACGATAAAAACAGCTCCCTTCCTTCCAAGGGCTTGCGGCAAGGCACGGCTCCTACTGCTGCTGCTGCTGATGCAAGGCACGGCGCCATTCGTGTGCAAGACGGAGTTGAGGTGCCCTCCAAAGCGGGGCTCAGAAATAACGATGCTGTTCTGTCCACTGCTTCAACAGGTCAAGTCCGACACGGGGCCTATAGTGTATCTGGAGAAGATCTGCGTACCGGTACTACCAGTACGAGTAATGCTACCGGTAGCTCCAGCACGAGCGCTGGTACTGGTACTGGTACTGGTACTGGAACCAAAGCTGGACTGAGGAAAGGTGCTGCAGCCGTAAGATCAAGCCAACAGCAAAACCCACAAGAGTCTCGAGTCGGTCAAACCAAGGCGGGGCTACGACGAGGAGCAGATGCCAAGATGGGGATACCTTTCAGTGCTGGTAGCGCTAGCACTACCAGTACTTCAAATGCTGCTGAAGATACACCTGTCATCAACGGTACCGGTATGGAACTCAATCGAGATCTCCAAGAAGGAGAAATGCAGGTATCTCCAGCCGCCCAGCCAGATCTAGATCTAGTAGAAGAACACCAAAATCACACAGAGCGACTCGCGGTGGCAAACTTGGTGGAGGACGACGATCATGATCAGGAACTACCGGAGGCAGTCGAATGGAACGAGAGCCAACAACGTGCGAAACGCAATATGCATCAAACAAGAATGGCACTCTTGGCAGTCTGGGCACTTGTGGTTATTGCTGGAATTGCCGTGGCAGTTGTTGTGTTCTCCTCTTCCAAAAAAGAAGACACCATTGTGATTAATCCTCTCACCGACTCCCCCACCCTTTCTCCTTCGGATGCTCCTACTCTGGCACCCACAGTCTTTAGCAGACAGGTGCGATTGGAGTTGCTCTTGCCAGAAGAAACCTTAGATTCCATCATCAACCAAGAACAATCACCTCAGGCGCTCGCGCATCATTGGACACTCACTGACCCATCCTTTGATTCCTACCCGGATGATCGACTCCTCCAACGTTTCATCTTGGCCACCTGGTTCTATGCCACCAACGGACCCTCATGGTTCAACAACACACATTGGCTATCGTACACAGTACATGAATGCCACTGGTTTCAAAACAGCATCACCATTCAAAGAGTAATATCCTACCTGCCCTATGATCATCCTCATCCCATGACCACACCATGTCGAAACATGTCCAATCTTGAAACAGGATGGCAGTACGAGCACCTAGCCTTGGCACAAAATGGGGTCAGTGGGTTCATCCCGCCAGAACTTTTCCTACTCACATCACTCCGTAGAATTGGTCTTCTCTTGAACCTTAAATTGACAGGCAATCTGGTTGGCGAGCAGATCAGCAAACTGACAAGCCTGGAAATCCTAGAAGTTTCCAACACCAACTTTCAAGGCTCTATTCCCACAGAAATTGGTATCCTCACAAATCTTGTTGGTGAGTTTCCTCTTTGTCCTTTTTCTTGGCATGGTTCATTCCGGGTCCTTCTCTCACTCTCTTCTCGCACTCTCTCATGCCTGTTCTTTGATGTACCGGTACACCTGCAAAGATTTGTCATTGGCAGTCGAGCAGCTGACTGGGTAAGGCCACAAAAGTGAACATTATTTTGAATGCTGCCGTTTGATCTATCACTAACCCTGCATGCATGCAACCATAACTAACCGCACCACAAACAGAGTCATCCCTACAGAGATTGGGAGACTGACGAACCTCAAGTACATTTCCTCACATCGAACCAATTTAGAAGGACCACTTCCTTCTGAAATCGGTCTCCTTTCCAACATGTTGGCGATCAATTTGGGGTCCAATCGGATGACTTCAACCATCCCATCAGAGATCTTATCCTTGAAAAAGCTCATGGTTCTTTTCTTGTATGAGGCTCAAATGTCAGGTATAGGAGAGGTTTGCAGAGGTCGTTGAATTTCCGTCCACAAGAATGGTGCTGACTCTTTTGTGATTCCTTTTAGGAACGATTCCCACGGAAATTGGGCTCCTCACAGATATGGTCCACCTTTACATTGGCCCGAATCGATTTGAAGGTGAGCATGAATTTTGTGGGTTTCATTTTCTTGTCCTTTCGTGAAAATATTCCTCATTGGATTGAACCTTTGATACGCAGGCACTTTGCCAAGTGAACTGGGATTGCTGACCAAACTAGAAGGTATGAAACGTTTGGGGTTGGGGAATCAAGCCCTACATTGTCCTCACTTTGTGTTTTGTATGATAACAGCATTGACCATCAACAACAACAACATAACATCGACCATGCCAACAACATTGGGGCAACTGTCGAGCCTTTTTGGTATGCAATTTTTGGGGACAGGCCTCACAGGGACCATCCCTTCCGAGATTGGATTGATTCCATTTGTGGGGAGTGACAGGCCCTATTCGCTCTCTTGGGAATACCGAATGTACTGGGCTGGTGGTACATACTTCTCTCTTGCAGAAAACCCCTTCCTGACGGGGCCAATCCCTTCTGAAGTGGCCAACATGCGAGGTTTGGAGTGGTTCCAGCTTGTTGACAACAAGTTTACTGGCTCCATATTGCCAGCACTTGGCCAGTTAGATTTGAAAAAGTAAGGATTGCTGGGGTTTGGCTGGCATGTGTGTGGTGACTCTTGGTACAGTACGGTATGCATTCTCACGAACAGTTTGTGCCAGACTGGAATTGTATGGGAACAATATGGATCAAACAATCCCGACAGAGCTTGGACAGGCCACTAATATGCAGGAATTTCTCATTGGTGGCAATTCCTTTTGGGGCACTCTGCCATCTGAGCTTGGATTGTGGACCCGCTTGTCAAAGTTTGACGTCTCGAACTGTTCCCTGACAGGTGTGATCCCAGGACAACTAGGTTCGCTGGCAGTCCATAATGAGTCCGTCCTGGAGTACTTTGCGCTTTCTGGGAATGAATTTGAAGGAACAGTTCCATCCGGGCTGTGTCAGCTGAATGCCAGTCTGTTGTTTGACTGCCACTCAGGTCTTTGTGGCTGCAATTGTGCATGTGCTTGAGTTACGGCTATGTAGATATAAACGTCCTCGTTTGGATGCTGTTGTATCATAGCCAAAAAGATTGTCTATTGTAGATATCCCAACGTCGTGGAGGAAATGGGAAGAGATGGTAGTGGTAGGTACACGTACCAAAGCTTCTCAATGGGTGTCCTCCTTTCAAGAATCTTCAATCATGGGACACATGCATGGGGTGGTATCCCGGTGTAAAGACTGCTGAATAAACCAGCCGATTTATCTATTTGATCATTTAGAGGTAGGGTTACGTTGATGTCCTCAGTCGTACCGGCGCCTCACTCGTCATTCGGGTTCTTCGACATTTTCCTTCACAAAATTCTCACTCTTCAATTCAAATCGTTGTCATAGCAGCCGTGTTTGTTGGATTGTGTTTGCTCCGACCATACTGTACTGGTACATCGTAGTAAGGAAGAGCGAAGCATTTGGCAGTGACTGTATACAATTCTGTGAAGATCAAGAGAAGAAGAAGGAGAGAAGAGAGCGACCATGGCGCTATTGCGTTACGGCAACATCATTTTCTTTCGTTTTTGAAGGAGCCACTGTGCGACTGATTTATATCCACGTAATTTCTGTTACTTTTAGTTTTCCACGATGGGCGCGGTCTGCTCGATCCACAATGACACCGTGGATGAAACGGTGATGGTGTACATTGGAGTCAACACCAAGGTGCTCCAGCCTCTCTTGTGGAGTATCACGGGACTAGCTACTGCCTTGAGTGGTGGCGTGGCTGTGGGGACTTTTCCCGCAGCGGTAAGTGTGACTGTGGCAGGAGAGGCAGTCATGGTTTCTGTCAGCGCCATCACCGCAGCTGCAGGAGGATTAGTCAGTGCTTCTAATTTTGTACTAGAGGCACTGCAGACCAAGCTAGTCAATGACTTGACCAAGGGCGGATACCACAAACTTCTACCAGGTCAGACCTATACAACCCAAAAGTTGTCGCCTGCTCTCAATCTCAGAGTCTGGTTGGTCCGAATACACAAAACTGAAAATGCCATTCTGATCAAGAGATGCGATTCGTCTGTCTGGACCGGCACTAAACCAGGATCTGCAAACATTTACAGAGTCAGGGACAAACTGCAGTTCCGTCATTGGAAAAGCCATGAAACCATCCCCACAAACTACCAATACATCCCCAAGGAAACTCAGCAGCACGGGACAGAGGAAGAAGAAGAAAAGAAGGAACAACATACACAAGAGCACCAAGATCATGGGCATGACAGTGAAGATCACGAGTTTACCATTCTCAACTCGGGAATGGTCCATTGTCAGTGCAAAATTGTAGAAACGACGCATTGGCCAGAAGAGACCAATGGCGACGGGCAACACCAACCACTGGATGATTCTGATGCGTGGGTACAAGTGGATGCTGTCACGGACAAGTGAATGCGAAAGAGCACTCACAGAGGCTAGCTAGCGACTTCCTGTTGTAGTGTGATCAGGGAAACAGGAAGCTAGAGTTTTCTTGGCAGCCTCAGGCGACCGTTGCAATCGAGTCCACGACGACGGCGAACAACTACCTGCCTGTTTGGCCTTAGGCCGTCTGCGATCCATCTGTAGCACGCAACAATCGGCGCTACCGAAAGAGAAACGGAGGTTCTGGCAAGCATGGGTCCATCGAAGCATTCGCTTCAGAGCTGGCTGTTATTGGCCTAAACGTAGCATGTCGTTGCTCTTTATTATCTGCAGGCGCTTCACCTGGCATTAAAATCTATTGTCTTAGCTAATTGCTCTGGGGATTCTTCTCATCATCGCCCCCGTCGTCGATGTTAGCAGCGCCCCCGTCGTCGATGTTAGCAGTGGGTTGTTCCAGCGTGGCCGTAACCGCCACATCTTCGGTAAACACCTTCTTCCAACCATCTGATGTCACCACGTACACATTGATGAAACCACCGCTAAATGCATCTCGAAGCGTCGCATAACGGATTGCTTTGATGCCCAATTGGACGGCCTCGTCTTCTGTTAGGTCATGGTGGTGTTCGGTATCCAAAATGGCATAAGCAAATGTACTTCCCGATCCCGCTGAAAACAAATTGCCATGCAATCGAATGCCGGTGTCGTCCACATAGTAGATATTCGGCAAAGACGTTGCATTGCTCTTCTTGTCGTCACCGTTGTCATCATACCCAACAATCATGGTTCCTACACTCAAGCCGTGTCCACGGTTTTCATACAACGTCCGAGCCAATATGCTGGATACTCGAGCCGTGCTGATGCGTTTACCGGTTTCCAGTTCGTGCAACATGGCTTGGGAGCGGAGTTCACGAATCAGAACCGAGCAGTCAGCAGCGCCGCCAGCCATGGTACCCAACATGTGACTGCCATCAATGAAAATTAAAAAGTAGAAGGGTTAGGGGAGAGGCAGCTTATACTTGTTTGCTGCCTGCGCGAGGTGCAGACCCCACTTACGTGTTTATTGGCAACACCTTCTGTGTCGTCTTGGAGCTCACAAAGTTTCCCATGGAAGCACGAGAGTCTACCGCAACGATTGCTCCGCCTTGAAACACAAACGAAAGAGTGGTAGTCCCATGGGCGAATTCCAATGGAGGCACCTTGCTGATACTCTGTTCGTCGACGTCGTCATCGCCATTGCCGGTGTAAGCAGAAGTATAGGGATCTCTAATCGGTAGATTCTCCCCACCCCGCACAGAGAGCCATGGATCTGTTCTGGTAATAGCAAAGGCAGAAAAACCTGTTGAAATGCCGAATCTGCGCGAACTGAGTCTTGTTGCCAAGCCATGGTCGATCGCGTTGGCTCCAGCTGCGAAAAAGGAGGCCGCTGTCGCAGCCAAACCTAAAACGGCCAGTCTGCCGCGGCCTCGGCCCATGGGTTGGCTGAAACGTTGGCGCGATTTGGCGGCTTCTGTAGTGGTCACAGCTGCTGCTGTTGTGAATCGTCGAGTGCCTGTCTTCCCGGGCAAACCGCGTTGATCCATATATGGTGTCGTTGAAAACTTGCGGGCAGCCTTGGTTTGTCTCTCGGGATCAAGGCCTTTCCACAATTGTGCGTTCTGGTTGGCTTCAGTACCATTAATATCATGCAGCAGGTGGTCCACGCTCTTGGCTGTTTCCTTTGCTCCTGCACCATTACGCTCTCGCCGGCTCATGTTGTTAACACAACCGTTGGCTGTTCTTGCAGCCAGGGGTGCTTCTGCTGATGCAAGTGACGACGGCTCTTCGTCGTCTTCAGCAACAATGGGCTTCCAAACATCCTCGTGGGATGACGTCGACGGGAACAGATCGAAACTCGTCTCAGCAGCAATCTTATCCCGTGGTTCACCCGATAGTGGAGCATGCCCTTCATCGTTTGAATGGGATGATTCTCCATTCATAACCTTCAAGACATTGGATGATTCAACAGGAAGCAACCGAGAACTCTTCCCTACCTCGACGTTGCGTGGCTCGTTTCCACTTGTCGATTTTTTGCCATTGGAAGGTAAGGCAGTCTTGAGCCCAGCCGACGCCGTGGTATCGATCGGAGGAGCCATTTCCCCCGCGCTTTTCTTCCAATCCGGAACAGGAGCTAGCAAATCGACAGGATCGTTGTCGGGAAGGAGTTTCTTTCTGATCCTTTTGAAGACTTGCACGGATTCTCCATCGCTGTCTGATGCACTGGCATCTACCCTTTTCAGCAATGAATCTTTGGCTTGTCCTTGCCATTTCCCTTCCTTCTTCTTTCCAGTGGATTGCCGTTCATGAAATCGGTAGGGGTCCCGTTCCAAGAGCGCTGGGGCGTTGATGAGGCGTGGATCCGGTTGCACTGGTGCCCACAATGTAGCAACGATTGGGACTTCGATTTCGTTCTTGGCAAACACCTTGGCCTGGGTCCCATCCGGCATCTCCCGCAGTCCCTGTAACGGACGCACACACAGCAAGATGTTCTGCTCCGGCGAAACACTGAGTCCTCCAGTCCCAGTGACTCCCTGCCCCCTGCGAAATATCTCCACCAATTCGTCTACTCGCACCGTCCATGCCAATTTTTCTTTTCGATTGAACTTCGTGACTGTGGCGTCTTGTCCCCGAACTGACCTATCCTTGTTGGAAACGGCTGTTACAAATGCCTCAGTCAAGTGAGGGTAGTTGATCCAAACGGTTGTTCCGATGAGACTCTCGCCGAGCGACTCAACTGGTGGCAACTTGGGCATCGCATGGCTATGCTCCAGCACGGCTGTTTTGTACCGCGTGGGAAACCCAAACACGTTGGTTCCGTTTCGTCTTCGCCACAAGCTTCGAATCGGGGCGGATCGCAGAGTTGGATAGCCTGGAAGCGGGACTTCGGCCCCCGACTTGACTTCAGGCTGAAAGCCAGAAGTAGCACATCGCCACTCTGAGGATTCCAGAGGCTCTATCTGTACTTGATTTGGCGCATTCTTGTCGACAAGTCCCTGCCGCGAAGAAAGGTTCGTCTTCATGACGACCGCCTCGCCAACTTGGCTGAGTGCCTGCTCCTCAGGCGTCAATTCGTGCTGGGCGATGGGTTCTGTCTCAGCCAAGAGTCGGTCCGTATCAATAAACGGCAACAACACCACTGCTTCCCAAGGCCAGCGTTTTCCATTCATATCGACTGTGAAAGTTTGCGGGTAAAAGTCAAGAATGTTGGACGTTGGACTGGTCATGAGTCTTCGAAATGGTTTGGGCAGAAAATGCGCTTGCGAAGGAGGCATGCAGGACAAGAGTTGTTCAAACGGTCGGAGTGGTTCTCCCAGTTTTCCGTCAAAGGAGATTTCTTGCAAAAGGTCATCAATGTCAACCAAATCACTGAGCATTGGCCCGTAGTGGTACGGATAGTACCAACTCCATGAAACACATCCTTCGTAGTAGTACTTTAGGTTCCAAACGAGCCCTTCAACGTAAGCTTTTCGAAGGGCTCGATGCTTGTCGGCGTCGAAGGGTGTGAATTGGAATTTGTCGTAGTAATAGCGTCCCTTGACATCCTGATCATCAAATACAACGTCGGGTGCTGTATCATCGCCACCATTGTCGTTGTCATCGGACCCACCGTGCAATGATGTGACGGATTGCTGGAGCAGGTCACCCAATCGTCTTGTCAGTCCCGAGTCGAGTTGATATTGCTGTTGTTCGGGTTGGAATTCTTCCTTCATGGTTGTCGTCGTTGTGGATGGCGACGAAAATGATGACAGGACCGGTGCAAAACTACCACCGCCGTCTTGCTTTTGCTTCGCCAGCATCATTTCTCGAAACTTGGCTCGATCGGCATCTTCCTTGGATTGCAGAATATCATCGGATGGCAAGGTATTGTATCCGTACTTTCTATCTGCTTTGCGAATCCCCTTGAGCCGTGCCTCTTCTTCTTCCTTTCGGTTGTAGTAGTAGGCATTTTCAAAAGATCCCACTTGTGTCAAGAATGCTTCCAACCGCGCGCCACTGACAATATTGCCCGCTTCCGTAAGATAGGGCGAGACTCCAGTTTTCAAACTTTCTTCATACCAACGTTGTCGATGTTCTCGGTAATTGTACCATAGGAGATCAAAAGCTTCGTCGGCAATATCGAGTGCCGGCATGGCGGGTAGGAAATCATTTCCGACAAAGAACGTCATGAATACAAAGTCGTCAATGGTCCGTTCGAGATCAAAGGGCGAATCGGGGACGACATTGGATGTTTCAAAATCAAAGGAGAGGTAATCCCGCAAGACATTCATGTGAAGAAATTCGAAATTGGGATTGTGAACGTATCCGTGCATGCCCAGCGCCGCAACAGCTTCTCGGCGTTCGGCAACAAAATCCACCTGTTCTCGTAACAATGTGAGATTTGGCTCGTGCGTGAGCAATCCCAACATGATGAGATCCCCATCTTGTCCTTGAATGCAGTGTCGTATATTTGGATTGTAATCGTTTCGTGTTCGTTGTCGTCTGATAAAGTCCATAATTTTGTGTTCTCCTTCTCCGGGTACATTGGGTCCACTGAAAATGACGGTGAGATGTTGCCATGCCGGATCATTTTGGAGTCTGTCTTGTATATATGCCTCGAGGTGTTGTGTGCATTCTTGAAAGAATGGAGTCCCCGGTGTGATTTGATTGGAATGAAATTTCCTTGTCACATGAGGAGTAGTAGACTCAGTAGTGGTTGTTGAGTGGTGATCAGTGTCATTGTCTGAATCTGTGTCAGAATCAGTGTGAGTTTTGTTGTTGTTGGTGACATGAGTTTCAAACTTTCCTGCAAATCTTCCAGGTTGTATTTCCGTGACAGAAGAAGAGGATGATGATGATGATGACGATTGTGTATTTGTGAATAGCTTTTCTTGTTGAATTTTGTCTAGATGTGCTTCATAGACAGTCTGTTCAATTTCATTTCCAGTGGTGTTTCTGTACCTTCTGGATCTTTGCTGATTGAGTTTAGCTCTTGGAGCCACTCCATCAATGGCAATGTACACCAGCTCTTTTGGTTTGACCACATCCCTGACAATTCTGTCCAGATAAGTGGAAATGTTGTCAAATATTTCCTGATTTTGGATTCCATTGGAGCTGTTGCTGTTGTTGGTTAAGGAACTACTAGTACTGGTAGTAGTACTAGTAGTATCTTCTTGGTCATCATTGGAGCTGGAATTGTTGTGACTGCAACCATGGATGATGCCATTGGTATCAATGTAGAGTCTGTCCACTTGAGGAGCCAAAGTGGAATCTTTGAGAAGATCATTCTCATTAATCAGTATTGACAAGTTTGACTGTGACTGTGACTGTGACTGTGACGATACCCTGCTGGAGTTGGCCTTGGCCTTGGCCTTGTCAGCAGTCTTCAAACTTTTGTTGGACTTTTTCTTCTTGTTTCCATTCTTGGCCTTCTTTGTCAACTTCTTGTCATTGGGATTGTTGCTGCTGGAGTCTTCTTTATCTTGATCTTGATCTTGATCTTGATCTTGAAGTGTATCAGATTCAGTCGATGGCACGTAACAACGCTGATTAATCAGAGGATACCTCTCAGATAACCAACGGAAAAACTTGGGAACTCCCATTCTATATTCCTAGTAATAGTAATTTTAAGTATGCTCAGGTCAGAGAGTGATACTCAATAGATAAGCTGGTTAGATAAGATCAGGGGAGGCACTGCAGACCATGGACAGCTTTGGAGTTGGTTTTGTGGGAAATCAAGTTGTGGATTTGGGTGGACGCAAAGGGCTCCTTGGATCTTTCGACATAAGCCGTCTAGGCAGTGTAAGGATTCAGCCCCCAACCTGCACGACTGTCTGATTGACAATCAGATGAAAAGAAGCTTTTCATTTCTTGAAAATTACATCGCCGGACGACCCACTACGGTACACGCAAATCTTTCTCGAGGAGGGTTCTTTCGCAGGCAATGCTTGTTCCGACTTCTGACACCTTTCCCGGTGATCTATCTTTGAACCAGCCAGTAAGATACTAGATCTTCCAAAGATCGTTTCTCTGAATGGCACTCTCTTGAGGTGACAGAAGAACTCTCCTACTAGTACTTTATACTTCGAGCTCAAGGCTTTCACATCATATTATTTGCAGGGCACACCATCGATCATCTTGCACATCCATCTTTTTTATTTCTACAGCAGGAACATGATCTTCTCTGTCTTGTCGCCGCTCGCTGCTGGTCTGGCCAAAAAGTCTACCAGTGCTACCGTTGTTCGTGCTGGGCTCAGTACAAAGGTAAGAAAGATGATATTTATCACCATTGCGTGCAGTCGAGCTACTTGCCACCTAAAATCTGATTCATTCTTCTTTGCCTCTGCCTGCTTGTGGAATGGAAAAAGGCTGCCCAAGTCGATCCCACCAAGATCCATTTGTACAAGAGCAACCATGATGAACGAGAAACGTGGCATCACACTCCCTTTGCGGAACGAGAAGCTCCCAAGGCTAAACCCCAACCAAAAGCGAAAGCTGCAATGGGAGAGAAGCAGGCGCCTTACTACAGAAAGTTCATGAGAGGCACATCCGGCAACAAGCATGCTCCTGAGAGTGAAGGCATGGGAATGCACGGAACGAGCCAAGGTGGAGGCAAGATCACTTCCTTGTAATCTCGACTCACCTACCGGTACGGTAGCTTACATACAGTACATGCATTTTGTTGGTAGCACGAAACAAGATGCAACGTGCCAGCTATGGACGCTGGCTGTGGCTTGCTGCATGGTCATGAATGGATAGAAACACAAGCAAGAACGAAATGGGCATTCAGCCAGGCATCTGCTTTGGAGAATGAATCAATCCAACACAAAAGAAGCAGAATTAGGCTGCATGTTGTAGCATCATGTGGTACTAGCTAGTAGTGGTAGCACCACAAGAATTAATCAATAGGAAATCGTTTTTAGGCTTCCAGCGATGCAGCCAGCTAGCCAACTGCTGGCTAGCACTTCTCTTGAGAAGCTAAGTGCTAATGTGTGAGTGTTACTAGCAGTTCGATCCTATTACCTACTGGTAAGAGTACCAGGTACCTCTGTGTGGCGAGTAACAGCTCCGTCCGAAACATGCAACACGGGAGGTTTGTTACAGCAAGTCTGCAAAGATGGAAAGATGCTTTTCCTTGGTCTTGGGAGTTTGGAGTCAAGCAGACGCGCCGAAAGATCCAGTCTCTCCTCCCTCCTGCCTCCTCCTGCACCTCGGTTCTGCCGAGTCGCTGATGATGAAACGATGAAACTCTCTGCAACTTGAATAGACTCGACTCCTGCAGAAGGACCACTACTACAGTGTAGCTAGTACCAGTACTCTGTAGAACATCATCTGTGTGCTACCAGCGCCGAGGACCAACTAGTAGTCTACCGGTATCCAAAGAAAGGACCCTTTTGCAAAGAATTGATGCAGCCAACAAGCAATGACAGTGAAGGAGAATGTTCATCATCAAGTCATTCAGTTGAAAAAGTCACTTGATGTTTACTCTTGGAACCACAGGCAACTAAAAATACGATGCACTAATGAATATGCATATGGCTTCCTTTTAAAACTAACTACTAGCTATCCAGCCATTCCCAACTTCCCAACTCACATGGCAGGCTGAGCCTGGCTCTGGCGCACCAACCATCAAGGCACCAAAGTTCTTTCACCTAGCTAGCTAGTAGGAAGCTTGAAGCTTGAAGTGAGCATGAGGAAGAAGAGTAGCAGCAGATGGTCAGAAGAGCTGTATTCCAACTCTCGAGAATCTGATGTACTCGTAGCCTGCCTGTTGCTTCTTGAAGTATGTTTTGCAGATGGTCAGAAAGGAATGGGCAGCCCTTGACGCAGCATGATTTGGAGATCTAAGTTAACATGGTGGTAAAGGGCGGTCCATGCTGACCAAATAAAATGGCGGCAAGCAGTGCCTACTATAAATAATGTAGTCCTATCTATTGTACCTCATCAGCAAAAAGGTTGAACGCGGCCCCAGACACCAAGATAGTATGTTCCTTGGAACATGGGAGCATGTGGCCCCTCCACCTGCCAACCATCTGGCTCTGGTGGGAGGTGGAGGGCTGTAAACCAGCAACCACCTGTGCGGAGTTGGCGTATTAGTCTCTAGCTACTAGAGTACTTTGAACTGGTGTATCCTTTCGTCTTGGAACCTCAAGATGGTAAGCATTTTGCTGGACTACCGTACACGTACATGCACCAGCCAGCGGATACATGCATTGTAGCGTCCTGTAGCTTGATGACCGACGACGCAACAGAATAGATCTGATACCAACTGCCTATGTTGGCAGAGCTGTTGGTAGTCCAATAATACATGTAAAGATGAAAGACAGATGCAGTAAAGTGGAAGATCTAGATACTCCGTAGCGCTCTTGAGTGGCCGAGTAGCATCCATTTCAGTGAAAGTTTGGACCATTTACATGAAGTTTGGTAGTCTATCTAGACTGGATGTTGCGCATCAAAGTCCCGTGGTGCTTTGTTGCTTTTGGGTCCACGAGCCTTTTGGAAAGGTTCCCACGGAGCTTTCCTCCGGTCTTCCCCTCCGCACTAATTTTATTTGGCTACTGACCGAGAGGTGGGCTAGAACCAGAGAACCTCTAATAATTCGCCGGCTAGATCACACCCGTACTGGAGTTGTAACTGGTACCTGGTACATGCCTACCATACGTTACTACCGTGTGTAGAGTTAACTACTGGGAACAACCTACGGTATCGTTATATCGTTATGGTGTTGTGGTGGAGCAGAGCTATGGTGGTAAGCTGGTGGTAAACCACTGGTCATAAGCTGAGTTTGCCGCCAAAGGAACGTCTCATGCTTCGCTTGCTTCGATGGTTTGGAGGAGGATCCCGCACTACTGTACATGTAGTATCCATTCGGTGGTGTGTGCAACGTTGCAACGTTTATCAACCATTGCTACCTGCTACAGTATCGACTGACCAGCGGAATACCATTGACCATCATGGACAGATGGTTTGTAGTGTGGTGCCCTTGCGTGGCCGAATGTGTTTTCTTTGCCACCTGGTAGGTATGGCCCTTCTTGGTTGTGACCAATGATGCACTTTTCTCTTTGGTGTTTGTTACCTACTGTGAGTACTAGTACCATGGTACTATCGAACGAAAACACGGTTTTGGAAAGAGAAGAGAAGGTTTCTTTACATTTTGCGGAATGTGTACGAAGGCAGTATAAAACGTCAGTGCTCGCTTCTAGAAAGTCAGACAATGAGGAGACGTTGCTCTTGGACTGTCCCCTAAGATGGCAGAATGGTTCCCTTTGGTGAATTGGGTGGCGACAATAGGCCAGAAAGAAGAGCCAGATGGTTTCTATGTTTTGTTTGGACCCTGTCTACAAGATAATTTGGATGGTGTGTATGATTATAGTGATTTTTGAATGTAATATATCTTGTTATTGAGGTAAAGAAAGTAGATGTTATCCAGTCAATGACTAAAATGGTCATTCGTGAAGAAGGGCATACTTGTTAAATTTGACCATGGTCATAGTGGTGGTGACATCACCTTTGGTTTCTATTGAGTTCTATAAGAGAAGGCTGCGAGAGACGGGTTCAAGTAGAAAGTGGTGGAGGTGGTGGTTTTTAATTTTTGCTGTGCGGTGTTTTTCTTTTTCTATTATTGTCGAGATCTTGGGTGGTCCATAAGCACCATTAGAAAGCTCTCTATAGTTTCTAGACTACTTTAGTCAGATAAAGTCAACAAGTCAACCACCATGACAGTACAGCCCGCTGCTACAACTACACCTATCACTGAGAAGAGCGGAGATCATTCCACCAGCTCTGCTCTATTGAGTTGGTCTAAATCTGATCTTAGTTTGATGTTCATGATGGACGGAACCACAGACGACCTTAGTGAGACTCTTAGTGGATATCATCCAGACGATCCTCGAGTTCTCAGTACACAACACACTACTAGCAGCAGCAAAAGCAACAGCAAAAGCAAAATGCAAGAAGAGGCAAGACGCAAGATGCAACTCCATCGAGAAGAAGATGACGACCTGTCGGTATACTCGCACCTCTCAAACAGCGGCAAGAATAAGGCCAACGGCAACAGGCTGCAAGAAAACCAAAAGTGGCATTACTTTGTAGAATTCCTACTAGTGGCACTGGGCCTCTCGGTGACAGTCGCTACTTGGATTGCGTTGGCCAAGGCGCAAGAAACGCAACAACACCAACAGGTACGTCTACTCTTACTTACGGTGGAACTGGGTCAGTTCAGGAGCTCTAGCTAGCTACTAGGTCATAGCTGCCTGGTGAACCCTGATCAGGTACTGGCAGCCATGTGCCTGATCAGGTGTGCCTTGGCTGGTGACCTCAAGTCGACTCTTAAGGAGTCAGGCTTGACTAGCCATGGCCAAGCATGCTCTGAACTGGCTTTTGCGCAGCTCCTGAGGCTAGCTACCTTTTGGCATGTGGCATGTCTGTATGTGTGGTATACAGTACATGCAATGTCATAGTACCTATCTAACCAAGTTTCTCTCCCTTCTCTTGTGTACAGTTTGTTTTGACCGCTACACAGATCCAGGATGGAGTACAAGACCGATCGCACAGGCTAAGAGAAGCTCTACAAGTCCAAAGTCAAACCCTTACCGACCTCAGTCGAGCGGCACAGGTAGAGTGGCCCTACTATATACCCACTTCGGGCAGCTTTAGAAGACAAGCACAACATGTACGAGAAGAAGGAAGACTTCAAGTACTGGCATTGGCTCCCTTGGTACAAGCGTCGGAACGAGATGTCTGGAACCGATTTGTACAGTTCCATCACGGACGCAGGAACGATACAGCCATGCCCGTGTACTACTACGACAACGGAAAGCCAACACCCTTTCAAGATCAACCACCACAAGCATTAGAACAAGAAGAACAATCACAAGATCTAGTTCTAGAGCAAGAAGAAACGGCTGTCTCCAAGGCAGTCCTAGCGGACGAGCACAGCAATCAAACCGCGCCTCCTAGTACTTTACATGCACCCCTCTGGCTCATGTCGCCCGCACCCGTTGAACCTGCCGTATACAACTATGATATCTTATCCAGCAACGATGCACAACAGTTGCTGCAAGCCATGGAACAGGCACCGCAGGGACAAGCCGTCATCTCCAAGATATTAGACTTTTCACACCTCTCAAGGCAGGCATACCAGCTCGACAATGGCACTCAGTCCTCCGTCTATCCTCATAGTCTCACCTTCCAACCAGTCTACGAACAAGCCATTTCCACTTCCAACTCCAATCAACCCGTAGCCATTCTATTCGGAATCATGTACTGGCACTCCTACATCAACAACCTCCTACCTTCCGAGACCAAAGGAATCATGGCTGAATTCCAAAACAACTGTGGACAATCCATTCGATACAGACTGGACGGGGATACCATCATATTCGTTGGACAAGGGGACGCTTCCAAAACAACATTCACTGACTTTGACAAAACTGGGTACCCCTACTACTCCATCTCCTTCTTCCATCCACCAGAACCTCCTTCTTCCAACAACATCAACGACTGCCAGTACACCCTCTATGTATACCCGACCGACGAATTCTTCCAAGACAGCAGCAGCAACCAAGCGGTCGTATACACTGTTGTATTTGCCGTCCTCTTTGTGGTAACCGCCATTCTCGTTCTCTATGCCATTCGACGCATGGACAAAGGAAAGAATGAAGCGCTCAATTACGCCTTTGAAGCAAACAACATCATCGCCAGCATGTTCCCCAATAGCTCCTTCTCCTTTGGACTCGGACAACATAATCATGCCGGAGCATCGTCGTCCTGGTTTGGCAATTGGGGCGGCGCTACTTCTGCCAAACAAAAGGAACTCGACATGGAAGAGTTTGGTGGACTCTGTGGAATGAACATTTCCAACCATTCAAGACGCGCTCCCATTGGAGGACGCAGACGGACCAAGAAGCAAGCAAACCACATACAAGAAGAACCCTCGGAACAAAGACGCACCTCATACGACGAACGGATTGTACAGTTTGAAGCCAGCTGCGCTAGTTTGGACTGCGGGGATTTCAGTGGCAACAAGTCCATTGCGAGTAGCAAGGCAACGCTCAGCAGCAGTCGAACTCGAAAGAAGCACAACAAGCTCAAGGCAAGGCAAAAGCTCCAAGCCAACAAGGGCGACCAAGCCTGGGATGACACTCCTTTGGGATCGCGACCCATCGCAGACTTGTTCCCCGAAGCAACCGTCCTGTTTGCAGATATCGTTGGTTTCACGGCATGGAGTTCCAGTCGCGAGCCACACCATGTGTTTGAACTGTTGGAATCCATCTACCACACGTTCGATGACATTGCCAGGAAGCGATGTGTGTTCAAGGTGGACACTGTGGGCGACTGCTACTGTTGTGTCACCGGAGTACCCCTCCCAAGAGATGATCACGCAGTCATCATGGCCGAGTTTGCTCGAGAGATCCTGGTTGCCTTTGATGTGGTCACATCCACGCTCGAGGTTCAGTTGGGACCTGAAACTGGAGATCTTTGCATGAGAGTCGGTGTCCACTCGGTAAGATAGATTTTGCGCAGGCGTGTCGAGGTTTGTGACTGCCAGATCGAGTTTGCTCATCATGATGAATGGTTCATCGCCCTTTCTTTGTCTCGCTTCTGCAGGGGCCAGTGACAGCAGGTGTGCTGCGTGGGGATCGAAGCCGATTCCAAATCTTTGGTTCAACTGTCAGCCGAACTGCCAAGATTGAAGCCGAGGGTGAACCGGGTCGTATTGTCATTTCGAGTAAGTACACTGCCTTTGTTTCTCCTCGTCAGCACTACGTAGACAAGTCTGTGCTAACTGCTACTGTTCCCCTTTTTTGTTTGCAGAGGAGACAGCTGACCTTTTGGCTGCAGACGGCAAGTCGGCCTGGTTCTTGAATAGGGATAATAGTTTAGAAGGGGGAGGCACAACATTGTACACATACTGGCTGGATCCAAGGAAAGAAGATTGCGAAGCATTGGACTTGAAACGAACTGGTGCTCACCCGGCACTTTTGAGAGCAGCGAACCTCATCCAGAAGATGGATGAAAACTGTCTGATCAAGACAGTGCATCAGCGTCAGGTTGACTGGATCGTTGATCAGATGGAGAAGCTCCTGAAGCAAGTCATTGTGCAACGACGACAGCTGGAGGAAGCGGTCGAGAAGAAGCCTGGAAAAGACGGCCCTGTCATCATCCCGCAAGCGGCCATCGCGCAGAGCGAAGTTTGTGTGTTCGATGAGGTTCGAGAAGTCATCCCTATGCCAACCTTTGATGCTATGACGGCTCTAGAAATAAAAGAGGCGGATGACATTGAACTGTCGCCGGATGTACTGTGGCAACTTCATGATTTCGTCACAAGTATCTCCACCATGTACCGAGCGAACCCCTTCCACAACTGTACGTCAGACTAGTCGTCGCCGAGGAACCTTGCCGAATGAACTTACCCTGGTCCTCACTCCCTCTCTTTCTCGAACTCTCTGCGCTTTACAGTCGAACATGCGTCTCATGTTACCATGTCCGTCGTCAAGCTACTCAGCCGTGTGGTTTGCCCGACCGATTATAGCGCCCATGATGCCGACAATTCCAAAACCGCGCCAGGAATGCTTCGATCCTCCAAAAGCAAGAACAAGCTCGAACTTCATGACTTCAGCTACGGGATCTCTTCGGATCCATTGACCCAGTTCGCTGTCGTCTTTGGAGCCTTGATTCATGATGTTGACCATGTCGGTGTTTCCAATGCACAACTTGTGAAAGAAGGGTCTCGATTAGCCAGAATCTACAAGAGCCAAAGCGTGGCCGAGCAGAACTCAGGTAAGCCACTGAAAAGAGACAAATGGTCGCCTGTTGTGGTTTATTCAACAGTTCATCTTATCGTGTGGCTTCCGCCATTTTTGCTCTTCCTTTAGTGAACATTGCCTGGGACCTTCTGATGGATCCTGCCTTCGAAGCCCTTCGACGATGCATCTACACCAACTCTCATGAATTCGACCGTTTCAGAGCAACGGTTGTGAACGTCGTCATGGCAACTGATATTGTGGATAAAGACTTGAAGAATCTACGAAACGCTCGCTGGGAAAAGGCCTTCTCCAAGCAGGAGGGAGAAGAATACACCAAGGAGGACAATGACAGGAAGGCCACCATTGTTTTGGAGCATCTTATCCAGGCCTCTGACATCAGGTACGATTACTTTGTCGCTCCTCTTTCTTCCACTGAAAGAGCAACGTACACTCACGATTTCTCTTTTCCGACCTGTTTTTCTACTGTAGCCACACGATGCAGCACTGGCATGTGTACCAGAAATGGAACCACAAGCTGTTCAGAGAGCTGTACATTGCCCACATCAAGGGGCGCATGGGGGGCAATCCCGCTGACTTTTGGTATGTAGCTGCGGGTGTGCATTGGCTTGTCTCTATCTTATCAACACAAGCGATGACCAGATTGCTAACCCACTAATTCTTCCTAAACTGAAACAGGTACAAGGGAGAAATTGGATTTTTTGACTTCTATATCATCCCTCTTGCCAAGAAGCTACGGGATTGTGGTGTCTTTGGTGTCTCGTGTGACGAATTCCTCAACTACGCTTTGGAAAACAGAGCACAATGGGAGAAGGACGGGGCGGATGTCGTCAAAAAGCTCATCCACCAAGTCGAGAACGACAAAGATATAATTGCACTCAAGCTCAAGTACAACTTTGTGGAGCAACCAAAGGACTGAGCGAGAGCTTGAGCTGGAACTGGAACTTGTACATTACAGGACCACATACTTGAAGGGCGCGGTCGAGGGAACACCCGCCTGTATATCATTAGAAACATGTTCTAACAATATATATTACTACAAAGATCTCTTCGGAGGCCCCTGCCTGTGCATTGTAGCCAGTTAGGAACAGCCTCTGGGTTCAACCAACGATCGCTTTGACTCTACTTCAATCGCGAAGAGGTCACACTACCGTATCGTAGGGTGTCTTCGCGACGATGTCTCTAGCTGCATTGAGCCGGATGGTTCTAGCTGGTTGTTGACCACCATCCCCTGCCTCCTTGATGAACGTCAACGCAACTCGGCCCGATCTGAGCACTCTTTAGAACACATTGATGAACTCCAGGACCTACAATCGTAGCTACATGTGGCTGAACCTGTGCCTTTCAACTAGCATTTGCTGGCTCGGCCAGTGGCTGGAGTACAGACAGCCATGTAGCGAGTCTGAACCGTGCCTGGTCCTACATGTCGCTGGAACGAATCTTACGGTACACTTGAGTAGTTTCTGTAGGGATGTAGGTGTGCGGTAGGGTCTCCTTCATTCACACTCACTCCTTCACACGTCTTCGACTTCAAGTTAGATCTAATCGTACCGTACTGTTGTCTACTGAGTGCTGGTACACCGTACCTTTTCTAAAACTAATTAACACAAGGAGAATCCATCCCCACATTATTCCCCACCAACATTGCAAAAATCTGCTTGTGAACTACTCCCTACTCTCTCATGTACAGTACTCAGTACGACTGTACTCATTCAGTATTCGTGCGAATCTGTAAAAGTCAGGACTAAGTCTTCTGCAATAGACGCCTAACTCTCATTGCACCATCGCAAATCGAGCTACTACTCGTATTTAGTGCAAGTAGTACACGTTGCGTGTATGTATGCAGTCGTTATGCAGTCATGATCGGCTCTTTTTATCGATCGAAAACTGAGCTCCAAAGATTAATAAAAACTGCGGGAAAAGCCAATTAGTTTTCCGATTTGCTAGGCCAACCGTCCGCAAAGCTGGGTCTGCTAGCACCTATTATAGCTAGCCGCAGATTTATTTCTTGCTGATCGTTTTTACGTTGTTGTTGGTGGATGATACCTTGATAGTACCACATATGTGGGGTTGATGTCGCACCAGAAAGTTGGAAGGTTGCTGGTACCGTAATCGTGATCAAGTTCTGCTCTCAAAACAACTGTTCGGCTGGGGGAGATACTTTTAATCAAACTCTAGACTCTACCGGTAGGACCAGCAATTAGATCCTTCCTGAACAGTTTACTTACTTAGTTGGATAGAAACTATTGTATGCTGATATCTGCTAGCTCACTGAGTAGAATTTCGAAATAGCGGAGATCAATGAGCAACCCCAATGGCCGAGATAGTGGCAGAGATGCCAGTATCATTACCGGTATGGCTGGGGAGAGCCCCAACAAAGCGAAAGCAGTCCTAACTAATGCCAGATCTCCTGGAACAACTCGTACAGGCAGTTTGTTGTACCGACTGTCGATTTCCCGCAATGGTGAATATTTGTATACTGGAACAAAAAGAACCTATGACTTCAGGCAATTGCACAGGGGCATTACGTTAAACCTTTCTGGTGCTGCTGCTGTAAAAACAAACAAACATGCCGCTTTTGCAATTGCCGGTTGGTACACGTACCCGTGCAGGTGTAGCTTCCACCAACAACCCAACTCGATAAGCGCACAACTCATCCAACAACACATCCTGCAACAACAATCCTCTTCAAGCTCAACCAAGAAAACTCTATCTATTATCTCTAATCTAATAGAGGTTAAGTCAAGGCAAGTCAAGGCAAGTTAAGTTAAGTTAAGTCAAGTCAAGTCAAGTTGGGTACGGTATCAGAACAAGACACCATGGTAACTCTGAGCAGCCAGAACAGCGGAACTGAGCACACTCCCACTGGTACCCGCAGTACCGGTACTAGTAGTAGTAAGATGGGTATCAATCAGGAGATGAAGATGATGAACAAAGAAAGCTTTGAAGACGATAGAGAGAGTCTTCACTCTGGTGTGTCCAGCAATTATCCCAACAATGACACAAATGGTACAAGCGACTTGTACACCGAACTGGAAGTTGCCAAGAAAGAAGATATTTGGGTATTTTGGTTGCGTATCTTGACCACGTTGGTGTTGCTCGCTGTTGCCGTGACTGTGTGTGTGGTGGTCTATTTGGAAGGCAGAAAGAGTGAAACCAAGGCTTTTGAACAGGACTTCTCTGACTTGGGAGAAAAAATGGTTCAAAGCTTTGAAGCCAAAGTGGAACAACGCTTGGGCGTTATCGAGGCTTTTGCAGAGTCCGTCACCTCGGATGCCAATCACTCGTTCCCCTATGTCACTCCTCCCAATTATGCATTTCGAGCTGAAACCACAGCCATTCTGGCACAACTTTTCTTTCTCATTTTCATTCCCATTGTGCAAAAAGAGCAACTGGCAATTTGGAATCAATATGTACAACAAAACACACACTGGAGAGTCGAAGGATGGGCACAAATCGCAGGAGTCAACCCAGAAACAGTCAATGAAACAGAAGTGGGATTCAAACCCTTCCCTCCTCAGATGATGAACTTCCACAATCCAAATGGTCCCGGTCCTGTCCAAAAAATAACACCCAATCAAACACAATTCTACCCAATTTGGTGCGCTTGGCCTGTCAATCCTGGAACTTTTGGCAATGTGGACATGTATGGAGATAAAGAACATCAAGTCGCCATTGACACCACTCTCAACACTGGAAAACCCACCTTCGAAATCAGCTATGACTACATTGACAAGGAAAAAGATGGAAGATATGGAATGCTCAAGGCAAATCCACATGCCGATTATCAAGATGATCCTCATGCTGTGGCTTTCTTCCCAATCTTTGACAAGTTCTCCTACTACGATGACTCAGACTCGGATCCAGAACCACCAAAAGTCAGTGGTCTATTCCTCGTCATTGTCTATTGGAGAACAAACTTTGACGACCTCCTCCCTCCAGGAGCTCATGGCATCTTTGTCATTCTAGAGAACACTTGCGATCAAGTCTACACCTATCGCATTGATGGAACATACTCACTCTTTGTGGGACACGGCGACCTACACGATCCCAAGTACAGCTATCTCGAAGCTGGAACCTCAATCGGAAATATTATCAACGCACAAGTCCTAGATGACAACAAGAATGGATGTCACTACAGCATCCGCGTATACCCCTCACAAGACTTTGAAGACGACCATCGAAGCAACAAGCCGTGGATCTACGTACTTGTGCTGGCGTCGCTCTTTCTCTTTACGTCCGCTGTCTTTTTGATCTATGATCACATGGTCGAACAACGACAGAAAATTGTACTCCAATCGGCACAACAGTCAGGCAAGCTCGTCAATACACTCTTTCCCGAAGACGTGAGGGATCAACTCTATCAAGAGCAGCAAGAGGAAGCCAACAAGAAACAGAAACAAAAGGGATGGGAAAACAGCACCGTTCCAAACGAACCTGCCACAGATGCTCTCGTTAATCGTGCCTTGACCATGGACAACAATACGGAACATGGAAAAAAGGCCATTGCCAGTTTGTACCCTGAAAGCACCATCTTCTTTGCGGATCTAGTCGGTGAGTACATGCAGTGACTCCAGTGCAGTGGAGTGCAGGATGTATGATTCATAGTCGGTTTCGTGCCTAACCCAACAATCTCACACTTTTTCTCCTTCTGCACCATTCGTCCGTTCATTTGTCCGTGCAGGGTTTACTTCCTGGTCCGCCAAGCGAACTCCCGTTGAGGTCTTCCAGTTGCTCGAAACGATATGTAAGTCCATGAGAGCTGTACTCATTGGCTGCTACACCCGATCGAAATGACATTCTCACATCAATCAACCACTCCGTTTCTTGACACCAGATGAAGCGTTTGACAACATTGCGCTCAAGCGTGACGTATTCAAAGGTAAGCGGCGAAATCGAAGCGCGCTCACACTATTGGATGGTAGCTCATCGTGACTGCCTTGATTTGACTTTCCTGCCACTACTCTCCTAGTGGAAACTATTGGAGATTGGTAAGCACAGTGCTGTCCGTCGTGGAGCAAAGCATGTTGTTTATCAGCCACGCGATGTCCTTACACCACTTCTTTTGTGCGCAGTTATGTTGCCGCAACAGGTCTGCCACAGCCCCAGCCGGATCATGCAATCATAATGTGTAAATTTGCAACGGATTGCATGAACAAAATGAAGGTGATGATGTCATCTCTGGCCGACACAATGGGAGAAGATACTGCTGATCTGGCCATGCGCGTGGGGCTGCATTCGTAAGTTGCAATCCAACTGCTGTCCAAGAAAAGAGACTCATGTTGCTACGCCCATGAGCTGACCCCTTGTTCGCTCTTCATTCTCGTCTTGCTCCAATCGAATCTCAGTGGACCAGTGACCGCCGGAGTTCTGAGGGGGCAGAAATCTCGTTTTCAGCTTTTTGGTAAGTTGCCTCACAGATCGACTGATGGAGCGAGAAACAAAGTCAGCAAGGACAAGGCAGCGTGTTCTTATCCTTTCTCCGTTTCACACTTTCACACTTGCAGGTGACACGGTGAACACGGCGTCTCGAATGGAATCCAATGGCCTACCGCATCGCATCCATGTCTCGCAGGCAACAGCTGATGCTCTTCGTGCCAAGGGCAAGAGAATGTGGTTGACACCACGTCCAGACAAAGTCCAAGCAAAAGGCAAGGGGCTGTTGCAGACCTATTTTGTAGACACAACATCAAAGTCCAGGTCGGTTGTTTCAGGGTTGACGGTTGGAGACACAACGATTGGTTCGGATATCGACATGGACAATGACTTGAGAGATGTCAGTGGCAGCACTGAGAACGCTCCTCAGCACAGCGGTTTACCGGATGACCTGGCAGGGTTCACAATAGACGGTGCTGGAGCAGTGCTTGCCAACGAGAACAACAACCATGATGGTGATAGTATCAGTCAAGGTGATGAAACACAAAGCACTGCTCCACAACGTGACGTTTTCACTGACGAGTTGGCGGGTAATTCCATCCAGACCGAGACCGAGGTGTGAGAGTCGCACCTTGTGCATGTGGGAAGCACCGAATGAGCAAATTGAGTTGCTGCGGCTGCCAAATACATATTGTGTTACTCTGAAGCACCAAAGCCACACTAAATCTAAATTGCATTAGACTGAATATGAAAGATTGTTTCCATGTATTTACAGTTTGGGTGTGTTCTAAAAGTTATAGTGTTTTGTTTGTACATTTTCTAGCATTTGGAATCCATGCAGCCCATGGACGGTGTTGGGTTCCACCCTCGTTTTGCAAAAAAGTAGTTGCAAAGTCTGTTGTTGGTTGCCTGTTGTTCTGACTGAAGTACTGTTACGAGCCCCATTGGTACAGTCCTGATGGTTGGGCTGCTGTTGGAATGTCGCATGAGCCCGTCGCTGCGTCGTTTAGTGTTGGCTCTGCCCATGGAGTGGTACCTGTAGGGACAAAAGGAAGCGTCCGTGTTGGTCTTGCTGCGGCGCAATACTTGACGATCGAGTGGGGAGTTGGAATTAAGGACGGAGAGGAGCGATGTCATGGAAGAAGCCGAGCTGGATGCGTACAACTTGTACTTTTTCTTGGGAGGTTCGGAAGCTGGAAGAGTGACGGCTGGTGCGGGTGCTGGTGCTGGCTTGGCGGTAGTAGCCGCAAAGCGTCTCTTCCACCACGGCTTGATGACATCCAACAAGTTTCCCTGTTTGATGGGTCCCTTGGAAATGAATCCGTGAGCGCGTTCTTGGTAGAGCCGTTGTTCATGGAGCGAATCGTTGGCACTTCGAATCAAGGAAAGGAGACGCGACTCGTCACGGGGCTCGAGTGATTCTCGTAGCTTTTGGACACTGCAGGATCCCGAGATTGTCTTGGAGACGGTCCCACCTTCGACGATATCCAAGTTTTCATCCATGATAATGAGAAAGTTATCGTTCTTGTGTTCTCGCATGAGTTGTGTGGTGCGGTCAATGAAGTCAAAGATTTCGTCTGGTGTTTGTCCTAGCAAGAGGCATCGTTCGGGTTTGACGCCGGCTCTTGCCAGGTATCGTTGCAGCATCTTGCGTTGTACGGCCGAGTCTTCGACGACAATGCACCATGTGTTCTCGGGGATCTCAAATGCTTCTTCTTCTTGGTCTTCGTTTTGTTCGTCTTGTTGAGCTTGCATGACTTGTGGCTGTTGTACGGGCAAACTAATGTCCATGGGAACCGCGAGAGAGGGACTGTCCTGGCGTGCGTAGTTCTTGAAGGACGGTGCAACTAGCGCGGGACATTCAAAAGTGAGCAGGGTACGGTTAGGTTCAAAGGAGATGGAGGCGTGACCACCCATGGCCCGGGCACAACTCTGTAGAATCCAAGCGCCATTGCCTTCTCCTTGCTTGACTTGTTCACTGGCATTATCAGTGTTATTATTGCAAGGAAGCTTGGCTTGTTCTTGAAAGATCTTGGCTTGCTGCTGCGGAGTGTTCATGGTCTTGAGTAGTTCTTGGTGTCCTGGTCCGGGTTCATTCTGTACTTGCATGGTGAGTGTCTGGTTCTTGGAATCGTAGCTAAGTCGAGTCTCTACCAGTCCGGCTGGCTTTCCAAACTTGCAGGCATTGGAGACGGCGTTTCCGTGAATGGTTCGCAGGAGAGTGGGGTCGAGCATCAGAGCGGGAAAGTCGTCAGTGGTAGTACATGTAGGGGTAAGTACGGGGAATCGAGCCGTGTCTTGTTCGTCATTCGAGTTAGCTAGCAGGTGCGGCAGACGGACCGACTCGAACGAGGGTCCGTAGTCTCCGTGCACGACTTCGAGTGTCATGGCGCAGTCGACTGTGCGACTAAGAAGCGCGTTGAGAGTGTTGCTAAGGTCGGTCAAGTGGTGTTGTTGGTCTGTCTGCTCTTCCAGCAATAGAGACTCCAAGATGCCCATGGCCGCCAAGACGCCGTTCTTCACTTCGTGTCGCAGAAAATGCGCTGCTTTCGAGTCGCACAAGCAGGAGTGCTGCGGCTGAGTGACAGTCTTGAACAGAGACTGAGGGTTGTTGCTGCTGTTGCTAGTACTAGTAGTAGAGTCCGTCATGGTCAATTCAATGCTTGCTATGTTCAGTCTTACGATGAATTCGCTTTGACTGACTATTGAATGTGTTGTTGCCGTTTTGTTGGTTTGTTTGTGTGGTTTGTTGGCGAGTTGCGAAATTTATGAGGCAAACTTGCATGCTGCCTTCTCATCCATTCAGATCACCACCGATCAACACTTACTTACTTGCCTTCAACTTCCTTCAACCTGGTGCTTATTTCTTGGAAACCCTTGGAACACCACCTCAGTGCAACTTCAAGATCCTGCCTTATTCCCCCCACCAAAATGATCCGACTAAATTACTGTACTATCTAATAAACAGTACCCTGTAAGAGAGTCACCACTTTGGGAGCCGCGACTTCAAGGGAAACAATTAAAGGCTATTTTAACCACAGAACTAAGTGACTTAGTATTCCAACACCCCACATTGCGTAGCATGCCAACCAGCGCAGACAGCGCTGAAACCGCCACTTTTGTGCAAGACCGAGCCAAGCTTGTCAGGTTGAACTTGAGTTGTTGTTTCAGGGATGGACTGGTCAATCAGTCCCACCGCGTAACAGCAGCGGCGAACCTCTACAGGGTGTTTGTAAAAGATTATGGTCAAATCACACAATTTCACTATTTCACAAATGATGGAAGGCATTTTTGATGGATTGGATCTGCTACAGGCATGTTCGTCCCTCTTGAAACAACTCATTTTAGCAATTCATTCAGAGGTCCTCACCGCAATGGTTCTGGCATGGTTTTGGTCCAAGTAGGTCAGTGGTTTCCTTATTACTGTTACTTCTACATGTAGTTGTACTACTAGCATTTATTCTAGCTAGCAAATAGTCCTCAGTTTGCACAAAGTACTCTTCTTTAGAAGAATACTAGTAATGACGCTCAATCAAAGCCAGGGCTCCTTGGAATCAGGGGTGGTTGTTTTATTTGTGAACCCTCTCTCATCGTACATTGCAAGCTTGAATGAGGCAACTTTGGGTGAATTGCCTAGATAGGATGACAATGTATGTCATAGTGGAACTTTGACTAATATTCAAATGGATGCAAATTATCATTTTCAAATTGATAAAAAAGGTAATCACTGAACTTTCTACTACTAGTAAGCGGTACGGTAGGAGAAGATCACGTTCGAAACGCCACCAATGTTGCAGTAGCCGGTGCTGGTCAAACGAGTGGCCATGCTGCCTGCTGTCATTTTTCTGATTCACAACAACCGGCACCACGTTGCAAGTGACAACGCGGTATTAGTACGCAACAGCCATTAAGACCTAGCTAGCTAGTAGGTCCCTTACATGTAGTCTAGTTCACAAGGACGAAGCAAATCCATCTTTCGTCCTTCTTCTGAGAGTTGGCCTGCGAATGAATGGCAGTAAGGCAGTGCAGCGATCGTCCTTATCCGGCACTCCCCCAGGCGCAGACCGTGTAAACCATTGGTCATTGGTCTGGGTAAGAGCCATCTGATGGCTGCAAGTTGCAAGTATGCATACCGGTAGTCGAAGTATCAACGGGAAATGAAATAGGACCAAGGCAGGACTTCTTCCAGATGATACAAATGGAACTCTGTCACTCCTTCCGTGAAAGGAAACATTCAAGAGAGCTCTTCTTCAGAATGTCAGGATCGTGCTAAAGTTTTTTTACATGTATTGGATCTGTACAGCGTACATACAACTTGCACCAAGCAAAGCTGACTCCAAGACACACAAACTGCTCCAAGTGATGGCTCCCTGTCGACTGCTACCGGTTGTTGCTGGCTAGTGGGCGCCCCTTGCCTGCCCGCCCATCGCTAAACTATTCGAAGGACCTGACGATCTCTTTTTCGTTCCCTGCCTCGCTCTGCTTCTTCAGTCTATCGTTGCGCTAAACTAGAAGCTTACAGCTTCAAAAAGCCAGTGCCGGTACGGTTCCGCTAGCGACCGGTACCGGTAGGTAGCAAAGTGGTTTTGACGGGGACCTGACAATCCTGGTTCTCGTCCGGCACAAAACCGCGGAACTTCAATTCTTTTAGTCCTTCCCCGGAGTGTGATGAATAGAAAGGAATAGAATTGCACTGCAGCTAACTTTCCAAGCCCACTTGGCTGTGAAATCGTGAGATCTTCGTGAAAGATGCATGCTTCTGCTTCGACCTGGGTTTGGACCCGTGCATCAGTCCATCGTCCATCAGTGGGCTCACGTGCTATCTGCACAGCACCAAGAAACCAGATCTTCAACTTGCTACAACTCTGCGAAGCTGCCTTGATAAAAAAAGGTTCTACGAATCATGCTTTCACTCACTTGAACGAACATAAAGCCTAGCTAGCCGCAAGGAATTCTCGTTACTGTAGGATTATCAGAACGGCCGGCCAGCCAGCCATCTCTTCTTCGTCCCTCCAAAAACAAACAAAACGAAGAAAACAAGAAAACTGCTGCAGGGATCCGAATCGAATCGAAAGCCCCTCTTCGCTTCAAGGCATCGCACTCCCCGTGAATCAAACGAGTATACTGGGTCCTACTAGTACCCACCTGGAGAAGCGATGACGCAAAATCGAAGCTTCAGTGAAAACAATCCAAAGCTTGCAACTAGTAGACTAGAGCCTTTATTAGAGAAAGCAACCATTCACTTCAGGGCGAGCTTCAACGGTTCGAATTTTCCGCTCCTTCCGATCGAAAGGTGCAGAACCAAGGATAGCACGTGCATGGTTGCGGCTGTCTTCAAGCCAAGTCTGTCCCTGGTTCGGGCGGCATACTAGCACACTTCCAGACAGGCTTTGGACTTTGGGTCTGTGTACTCCTGCCTGGCAGCCAAGCGTGTTCAGGAAGAGGGAAGGAACGGAAGGGAATGTGAAGCTGCTTGGTGTGGTGCCAGCCATGAACCATGAGCCCCACCACCCTTACCAAAGCACAATCCTTTCTGGAACCGTAAATCTCGTCCTCGTGTCTTCGCCCAGTCTCTCTTCCTCGCGCTTGGAAAGGCCAAAGGAAGTAGCCAACTTCTGTGTCGTGGCTGGGGCTCCATGGTGGTCACTTTCCAGGGCCAATGCACATGTACCAGGTAGCTCAATTGCTTTCTTGGGGGCCCACGTGTTGTGTGTCTACGTGTACCAACGTAAATTCAGGGTGGTGATGACTGCTGTAGCTACACCTACCGGTACCACTTCCAACAAGACAGAGCGACATGATTCATGGCAAGCACTTGGCATGCAATGCAGCCTGAGCGGCCGACATACTTTAGCAGTACCGGTAGGTGCTTTGTTGTCTCCCTTTGCACGGCCCCAACCTCACAACTAACGTATCTCGAAATCTAGCTAGGGAAGCTAGTGGGTTGCACTTTTGGGGCTATGGTGGTTGTGAGGTTTGACCATCCAGGCTTAGTTTTTCGGTAAGGATGGACGTCAGAAGCCAGCGAAGCGTGTACGGTACTGAATTACAGTATCCAAAGGGTAGCATACCGTACAGCTGGCACCAATATGGTACCGGTATTACTACAACAGGTCTGTGGTGTACCATTATAGTAGCTCCTGGTACGGGTACTAGCTAGTACGGCTGTATACTGTACACGGTGAAAGACTGAGGACTCGACACTGACTCATCATTCTGAATGAATCGAATCAGAATGCGATTCGAATTGTTTCGGATCGAATAGTCTTTTCGTGGAACCAGATTTGCCACCCAGAGCTCCACCCGGACAGGCGGAGGAGGCTGCCTTGCCGCTACTAGCACACAAAGCTAGCTAGCCAGCACAGCAGACCACTGCGTTGCAAACTGTGGCCACAACCCAAACCATCAAACCATTGACATCGTTGGCCAATCAATGGCCAAATACAACCGGTGACTACTGAGTAGCTAGCTAGCTGGCTAGCAGGGAAATGTTCAAAAAGACAGTAATCGAATCTCTGGGGAAGACGGAAGACGGACAGACCGCGTGGAGTGCTCTTCTTTGAGGGTCACCAACCTTGAGTGCTGAGCCCATTGTTTTGTTTGTCTTGATCCACCTCCCTTCTATCCGTGGATCAAGACTGCTCTTTGGTTGCCAACCAGCTGCTCTAGGCGCAAACACAACTCACAATCATCGGAATGCGGAAGGTAGAAATCTGGCGCCCGAAGAGAATCGCGAAGCGATTCCACCAGTCTACCATGGTACTCATCAGTAGCAGGTTTCGCAGAGAACCTACCAAGTTACAAACCAGTTTCTTTCTGTCTTCTGCTTTCTGCTTTGTCGCTGGTAATCGGGTCGAATATTATTAACAAACGGAAGCTAGTTATTATTTTCCAAGTATGTAGTCTTGCTATCTAGCTATTTAATATCTAGCTACTGGAGTTGCGAGTAGACTTTACTTAATTAAAAAAGAGAAGGCATTTAATTAAGATCTCGGGCTTTCTCACTGTACGTGTATCATACCGTAGTTCCTGTCAATCTCCTCGCCCATTGGCGCATTCCAAATCCAAGTTTCTTCTCCCAAGAGCTTTTTGCGACTGACTTTGAGGCTCGAGGGAACCCGCATGAGTACCGTAGATTGGTTTTCATTCCCTGTGAATTGTGCAGAACTCGTGGCGAGATGTCTCTAGCTATCGGTACAGCTCACGTGCTTATGGCAAACCACTCGCTGGAAGCGAAATCTAAAAAAATATATATATATATATGGAAAACATATGTAAGAGAGAACAGCCCGTATGCCAACAGTGTAAATACTACAAACAACATCTACAGTGACCGACCAGGGAGATTTTGCCCCCACTAACTGCTAGCAATCGGTACGCTACGCTCGGATTCCGAGAAGTAGAACTCATCCCACCACAATCCTTATCAACAACATCTATCTGATCCTTAGAATCGATTAATCCAATCTAATCAAATTTACTCTGAGCAAATAGAAACTAAATCAAGTTAAGTCAAGTGTCAAGTCAAGTCAAGCAATTGGGTATCAAACAACAGACACCATGGTAACTCTGACCAGCGAGAACAGCAGCACTGAGCACACTCCCACGGTTACTGTTCAACCTTGGCTTCAAAGCTTTGAACCATCTTTTCTCCCAAGTCAGAGAAGTCCTGCTCAAAAGACTTGGTTTCGCTCTTCCTGCCTTCCAAATAGACCACCACACACACAGTCACGGCAACAGCCAGCAACACCAAGGTTGTCAAGATCCGCAACCAAAAGACCCAACGATCTTCTTTCTTGGCCACTTCCAGTTCCGTGTACAAATCACGTGTACCACCATTTCCAGTGTGCATACCATCTCCACTTGCGTCATTGTTGAATTGACGGCTGGAAAAATCACCCTCTTCCAAGCACTCTTCTTTCTTGACGACCTTCATACCAGTACTACATGT